TGATCAAAACTACCAAATTGTTTAGAAAATTGCAGAATCTGAACTCTTTAATTGGCAAATTCATAAATGAGGTCACTGATTTTGTGAAAAAAAAAAAAAAAACGCACACAAAATGACGTATTTTCAATATAAAAAGTAATTGTAGACTGGATTGTTTTTATTTGTTTACCTTTTATCAAAGTCCCCAAGAATTGTTAAGCTGCATTCATTAGGTCAACCGTAGCCAGTAACACTTCCCAAAAGAGATTATTATTTGAGCGGCATCTTCGCTTATGTTAGTCTGTTTTTCATCATCACAAAGTCTCCATAATCCTGGACCTGGTCGTATCCTGAGCAGATGCTGTAGTGGTCGTGGAGGAGTGGAGAGCATGAGACTGATTCCAGAAAGACCCCAGTGACAGACGAGTCCTCGAATTGATCCCGTGGGTCAGCCTGAACACCTGCTTGTGACCTTCTCACACCTGCAGCTTTTTAACGATGAATGTCCAGCGTTCTCCAGTGCCTAGACTGCAGCTCTGCACAAGACGTTTCGCCAGAGCAGAAATGGTCATGCCCAAACTGAGCCTGGTTTCTCTTGAGGTTTTTTTTCCTTCACTTTCGTCAATTAATGAAGTTTGTTCCTCGCCACTGGCTTACTTGGATTGGGACTTGTGGAACTGTGCATCGATAGATTTTCTCTTCAGTGTTTGGACTTTTAGCAGTAAAAAAGAAACCACATTGAACTGAACAAATCCGAACTCTGAAAACTGGACTGGTGCAGTTTCAGTTTACTACTATGTTTAGCTGCTTTGACACAATCTACATTGTAAAAGCGCTATAGGAATAAAGTTTTGAGAACAATCAGAACAGTCTTGAGCATCTGTGCTCAAGTGGCGATTTTGTTCTCTTATGCCGTGGTTACACTAGACGGGGAGTGTGCGGCTAAATCGTAATATACGCATATAAATAGACGCATGAACATTGAGTTTACCCGCTTCATTAGCACATCAAATTCACTAAACAATAGATGTGGATTCACGTAATGGGCAGGGCTTCGGTCTAAACTCCTCCAGACACTTAAAGGGTCACGAAACACCAAAACACATTTTTTGAGCTGTTGACAGTCGTATATGTGTCCCACACTGCTTAAAACACTATTAGGACACCTATATTTCACTAAAAAGTGTAAATTGGTTGTTTTTGCGTTATTTCAAGCAAATTCGTACTTCCTGTTTGAAACAAATTTTTGAAGCTGCGTCACGGTCATGACATAATAGCGTGTATTCCAGCGTGCAGACTGGACGTCTGTGCCAGACTGTGTCTTATTACGTCTTACAGTGTGATGCATTAATGCATGAGTAAGGCTTGGTTCAAACCAATCAGCGCGCTCTATTGTGCAACTTCATTAATATTCATTAGCGTCACCGTGTTTACGCCACAGAGACGCCACGTTGTGTTGGCAAAACAAGCGTGAAGTGTTGCTTTTATAGTTTGCTGCCATTAAGTTTCGTTTTCATTTTCTCTCTGTGAGAGCTCATCTGGATCACGTGTGGATTAACAGTGTACGCGACGCTCGATAACAAAAGCTTACGTGTCTAAGGAGGAACATTGTTTACCTGAGAGCTGTTCTCATCTGCAAACGCTGAAATCCGGATTCGCTTGTAACGTTAGTCTCCTCTTCATAAAGACGCGGCTCTAGTTGCTGGTGATTGTCCTGTCTCTACAGATTTGGTAAGTGAGCGACCAGTGCTCTTTGTTTATTCAGTTTGTTCGTATCGAATTAAGTTAACTATTGCACTGAGTGCAAACATAGCACCGCATTTTGTGACCGGAATAACACACGCGGCTTTCTGACGCTACCTGCCGTGTGCATGTAAGTTTCCGGGAAATGCAGAGTTTTTTTTCTCTCATTCGCTGTGCGGTATCAAACATTGCATGAAAAATACACGCTTAGAGCAGATCCTCGAATCAAATATCTCGTTTGTCGCGAGGGGCATGAATGAATTCCCTGAATGAAAGAGCCAAACTGCTGTTAAAGTCCAACATTTAATAATTTGGCAAATAATTCGACTACAGATGTCCATGTAGGTTAAACAACATCACTTTCTCATGTGTGTGTATTTTGACTGAAACTCGCGCGTGCCCAAATAGACACTCCCACACCCTCCCACTTTAGTTCCTCCGACACTCCCCCCTAAACAGAGCTTTACACGCCCACTTTTCTGACTTTTTTCAAAGTAGAGGTGTGAAAACACCCTGCTGAAACGAGGGGGTTTCATGGCCCTTTAACCTGGATGATGGAGGCTTTCAGCGGTGCTTCCGACTGAGCCGAGCCCAGTTTGATAAGCTGTTGTCCGGTGTCGGCTGGAGAATTTTCCCCTGGGGCACCAACAACAGGCGCTACTTCAGAATCACACCCCTACACCAGATCAGTTAATGAGGTGCGAATGTCCACTGAAGTTCAGATTTTTCGAACTTGAGCACAAATCACGCCTCAGGATGTCTATATTCATCTTTACATTGACCTAAAAGCGAACCGTACTGTACCACTTTTTTGTTACCCTTTGCAAAGGGTACCTAGCAGGACCAAAGGGAAACAAAAGGTGGAGCTAGAAGCGCAGCTGAACGCTATTTGTTTACAGAGAAACGTCACTCGCTCGTGGAGCTAGCCAGAATAAAAACGAAGAAACCGCCATGATTTAAATACACAGCCGAGACATTACATCATAATACTATATGCATATAATAACGAGCCATGTTGGGCCCGAGCTCAAACACACCTTGTCGTCATCTTAATGAACAGACACAAAGCCAAGAAGAACAAAATCTGCCGTGTCCTGTTTTTGTTTTACAAGGCCGTCTAAAAGAGCTGGCGGTTTCGCTTTCTCCAGGGAGCTCGTGATTGCATCTATATTTGAAATAAGGAACTTCTTGAGCTGATGATAATAACGTGCGTGTGATTATAGAAGTGTTTCCAACACCCGACCCTTTCAGAAACGGACAAACGTGAGGTCAAGCGCAAAAAAACAAAGGAGCAAATGGTTTCAGTAACATGAATCAAGAACACACTGCCATGTCTATCATCACCTGTTGGACTATTATGAACTCGGAATGACGGAATCACTCTTTAACAAGAGATTACATGTGCTGCTGCAGGTTAAAGACACAGATGAGAGGTTTGCATTGACTGGGCTATATGTTGTGTGTTGTTTTTGAACCTAAATAAGGACTAAATGTATGCTGTGTGTAATTTTTCTGTAGTTGGTAACATATCAGAGACTGTAAGGGTCTGTATGTGTTCATACATGTTGAATTTATTTATTTGATATAACCGCAAACGTTGCAGTAGGCCATTTCACATTATCATTGATCTGTAGTTATAAACAAAACATGTTCATAGAAAAGTTAGTTATGAACATTTATACACAAGTATTTGTGTATAAAGCATCTGTTTTGTGAGAAGTGTTTCTTATATGATATGTAAACGACCCGTACAGCTTTACTTTGACATTTCCTCGAGCGAGAATGACGACGACTAAAATTTTGTCGTACACCACGCCCACCAAAAGGGTAACCTTGGTACCTTTTAAGCAGTGGAAACGCAAGCCTGATAAAGGTGACCCATACCGTACTCTACTGAACCAGTCAGTGCAAACAGGCCATTATGTATCATATTTCCTCTTTCTAAAGCTACTGCTTGTCTGACTGGTCTTCCCCTGAAATGTGTGATGTTCATTTAAGGTCAGATGAGTCCAATTTCGCTACATGTAAAGGCTTGTACACACCGAGACGCTTTTCGTCAGCGTTTTACGACATGTTTTTCCGGATTCAAGCCATTTTCACTGGTGTCAAACAGAAGAGTATGCAAAATCACTCCTTGATGTTAGATGGCGCTACACAACTTTAAGCTTCTGACACCCGCTTATAACACAGAAGAAGGGGAAGGGAGGAAGTTCACACGCTTGTTGTTAAAGTTACTGGTGACTCGAACAAGCATGGATGGTTCAAGCAGCAGCTCCAGCTCTAGCGATGAAGAAATGATTACTGTTCAGCAATAAACAGAGCAATAAGCAGCTCCACATTCATATCGCCTCTGGGCATCTTCTTCAATGTGTGCTCGCATTGACAGTTTTGCACTTGAGCGCCTCCAAGTGCGGTTTACTGTAACTTCAGCAGCTCTGTGCACGTGAACAAAAGTGCCAATGTGATTGGAGGCGAAGGTTTTGACGAGGCGCATCAAAACAAAAAAAAACGAGCATGAGGCGTTTCTTTAAAAATGACGCTTTTACACCTGCCATTTTGCGCGCTGGTATGCACGATCACGTTGGCGCCGTTTATTTAGTCACGAGGCGTTAAACGTTGACTGAAAATGCGAGCATAAAGCGTCCCAGTGTGCACGGGCATTAACAGTGTAGTTTAAGTCTTTTTATCATCATTATATTCCAGTTTTGTGCATTTAATTACATTTAATTCACAGCTAATGTTTGTTTTTGAGGACCATGGGTTGCTATACATAAACATTTAGCCAAAATAATTACTTAACATTAATACGCTCGCATTTAAAGTCTCTAATTAATCTTTGATAATACATAAAACACAATGGCTGTGAGTCAGAATATTTGCTCAGCTGTAATTATTTTAAGAAACCGACAGAAATTTGCCTTTATTTGTTATGCATTGATCCTCCGTTATGCTCTATAAAAAGACTTTCATTCTTTTTAAAATGACAAGCCTCTTGGGGAGCAATCTAATGAGCCACATGTAGGCACTAGCATCAGATGGCTAAAGAGAAAAACAAAGGCTTAAAGAAGAGCTCTTTTTCTCCGAGGCATCATTGACAGCACGTCAGATCGGGGCAACAATGGCGAGGGATGTGGGTGGAAGGGAAGAGGTGTGGGGGTAGGAGGGTTTAGCATAAGAAAGAGCCAGCATGAGAAAGGTGATGGGCCACCCTAAGGGAAAAAAAAGAGACCACACATGAAAGAAAGCCGACATCTGTCCACCCACGCCAGGGACGAGCCTTCAGAAATCAGGACGTTTATTTGAGTTCTTATGCACCAGTAGAGAAGGAATAAAGTCATACAAGGGAGATCTTTTTAAAAGCTTCTACAAGCGGTCCATGAATTTATGCTAATTAGATCTTAACAGTGACCTTTGGTCCATTGATTTGTGACAACCAGGTGATCTTTTTGCAGATCCATGCAGATTTTCAATCGTATATTCTGTAACTTCATCTTTGACACTGATCCCATAAATGTCAGACCACTAATAAGTGTAAATAAAAATTTATTTATAATTTCATAGACCCCAAAACGCATACATATTTCTAACAGACTGCGACAAAAGCACCACCCAATTCCTGCAATCCCTCATCTGTTTTGCTGCAGCCTCATAAATAAAATTTAAAAAGATACGCTTGGTGTTTTGGGGCTGTAGTGTGAGTGGAATCATTTGCGCTGTACTTGTGTGAAGGACGAAGGGGTCTGGATGGGCTGTACAGGCTGAGTCGACTGGAAAGAAAGCGGTTTCTTCCGGAAGTCTGGAGAAGAGCCGGGCTTGACGGAGGGGAGGAGCTGGTTGCGTTTGATGATCTGTAGAGCTAGCTGTGTGTTTCCTGCGGAAGCGATAATCACGGTTTAAAACGATTGATCAAGGAGAAAATAATTAAGTGTCAAATGATTCACCCTCTCAAAAAAAACAGCAGCATTTCCCAGAAGTCACGGTGTAATTGAGATCTGGGTGTGTGACTCACCGTTCTGCAGCTCTAAGTAGACGCCCAGTAATATAGCTTCTGGGGGAATCTCTTTAGTGTTCACCATTGAAGCAGCCTATGTAGACAGAAATCAAGTAGATTGAAGATATACTTTACATATGTTAAAGTGTTTGCATCTAATTCCCAGTGAGGATAACTACAGTGCGTCCCAAAAAACACACTATACAATCAACCATGTAGTGTTGTCCCAATTGGAACACTAATTTTTTTTTTTTTTGTAAACTAAACAGAAATTTGAACCGTTTCTCTGTTGACATTTAACTGTTGCCAAACAATATTTAAATAAAGGACCATACCAACAAATAATACCTGTCATGAGTACATCCTAGGGCCACACAATAAATCATTTGAGCATTGATATCGCAACGTGTGCATCCTCAAAAGTCACATCACAGGATTAGATTATCTATTAAACATTAAAATAAAGATTTTATTTTTATAATATTCTATAAAATTATTTATACAATGATGAACAAGTTATTTTATGTTTGATTGTTACATTTTTGTATTTGAATATTCTTAGACTCCACAGCAAACCATGAAGCACTGTTTATGTAACTTTTAATTTTGCTCTGTCAAATGATTGTAATTTATTATATTTTATTTTTCAAAAACAGTAACAAAGACTGCAGAACATTTGAAACTTAGAACTCCAGAAAAAATAAGCAGAAAAGGTGTTACATTATTATGTATTATGCATATTATGTCCCATTTCCGCTGAGTGGTACGGTACAGTTCGGTACACTTTTATGGCCGTTTCCACTGTTAAAAGGTCCCAAAAAGCGAACCGTACCATACAACTTTTTGGGTCTCCTTTGCAAAGGCTACCTAGAACGACAAAAGGGTACCAAAAGGTGGAGCTAGAGTAGACGCAGAGCTAAACGCTATTGGTTTACAGAGAAACATCACTAGCGCATGCGCAAGCAGGAGAATGAAAACAAACGAACCGCCATTTTTAAATACACAGCCGAGACATTACATCGTAATACTATATATATGACCAACTCAATGTTGCCAGTTATATTTTCAGCAAGAAAGTATAGTTTAAGTTTTAATATTTTATACAACTGTAGTCATTTATATTTCATAAGTTTAAAGATTTTTTTAATATTTCTTTAAAGTGTATACATATTTATATATTCAAATTAAGTTTTATTTTCCTGTACCTTGGGGAATATTTTATATCTGTGAGAAGATGTTACTTGGGAAATATTTATAATAATGACTGTCCACATAAAGCTGTTCATCTAAAGTCATATTTTGTTTTATAAAGGTTAAAAATAAAATAAAAAAATAATCACAAGATCCAGTCCCTTTCATTGCTTGGATATTTAAGCTTATGAATTATATAAAGCCCGTTTGTACATTTTATGTAATAACTACCTTAATAAAAAACTATGTTGTGAAAGATATCTTCACCGTGAAATAGACTTTCTCACACCGTGAAATTAAAGTTTGGTCATTTCACTTACCTCCTGCTCTTCTACTACATCAGCAAAACTGTGATCATCGAGTGCATGGTGTTTTCAGTTAGAGTGCGCTTTCTTACTCTATTTTTACTATAAAATAGCATGGAATAGCGCATGTGTATGTGATATTGGACTCACTTTATATTATTGTGATTTTGATTCAACTGCATCGACTGCTTGTTTACCTGATGAAGGCACTTGCGGGCTTTCTCGTATTCACTCCTCAAGCAATATGCACTGCCCAGGTTGAAGAGCATTGTGGCACGGGCAGAGCTTACAGAGCTGGGGTAACATAGAGGCGTCTGCTTCCCTGCTGATGAATGCATACCACAAATAAATACATACAAAATAAACATTCTTATTAACAAATGTTCAAAGAATAATGTTTAAATCTGTAGTTCACTACTCCCAAGTGAAAACTATTTGTAAGTGTACTTCAAAACACATACATTACAATATTATTTAGTCTTAAGACATATTTAGGTAAATACTCATGTTTATCAATGTCATGGTTGACAATTAACTAAATCTTTTCTTTTTTAAATACAAACAAAAAAGAATTAAAACACATACAATCATATTTATGTATACATATTTTGTGTAATTATATGTAATATACACAGTCAAGACCAAAATTATTCATACCCCTGGCAAATTCTGAAGGTAGGTAACTCTTCTAAAGCATAGAAAAACCACACTATGTTTGCAGCTATTTAAGAAACATGCTAAGTAAACATTCTTGCTTATCTGAAAAACAATGCTGAAGTCAGATATTCTGCTTTGAATATGTGTGTTACGTGCTGGAACATCTGTCTTTGTTTTGGTCCAATGCCAGTTTAGCCAATTGTATTTCAGCACCCCTGGGTGCCTTGGTGGAAAACAGCTTATTTGATTCATTCAGTCAGGAAGGCTTAAAGTATGCATCTGCGACAGAAAATTTGACCTCCGGTGGAAATGAGACACAGATTCAGAGTTCCACTCGAGGAGGTTATTAATTAGCAAATAATATAAACATTATGAATGTAAACATTAGCTGAGCAGGTTACATTATAACCCCATGTCCTAACAATACGCTGCGTGACAAGGTTTGCAGTGATAATCAATTTGGCTGTTTGCACCAGAAATTTAAATACAGCCTTTTGAAAGCACAGAATAGTGCACTTACTGCGCTCCAACAAAATGGTAAGGTTTACAATCTAATTAATACTTATTAACCCTCTTGAACATTATTAAATGTAGATGCTTAATCACTGATATGTGTTGGTTTGGAGTCACAGTCCTGAAGTTTCGAATACAATTTCAAACGGTTTATTTTCAATAAATTTCAATAAATGTCATGTAAAATGGCATTCAAACTCACATTATTAGCATTTAACACTGAATAAAGCACGAGGTGTACCTGAGGTAATCATCATCAGTTTATCCTGTTGTTTAGCTGCAAGAAATTAAAGCTGTTTCTAAAATACTCTTTGTATGTGTTGGTTAGGGCAAAAACTTCTTTTAATATGGAAAATATATCATCTATCTATCACGTGATGTTGCTTGTATTTAGAAAATGACTTAAATCAGCCTTCAGGCTCGATAGGCAGGCATGCTCCTGTTGATGTCATCAATCTGGCAACTTGCGCTTGCATGTGTTTTGTACCAAGAGTGAAATACCTAATTTAACCACTGGGTGTCAAACTTACATACTGCACTTTTAAAGGTACCAGAAATGACACAGGCTTCTTCCAAAAGATGAGATGATGATGTATAAGAGGTATCACTGTGGAAAAAATATTTCTCCACTTTTTTTATTTGCCAGGCGTATTGATAATTTCGCACTTGACAATATATTTACAAACATACAAACACACACACACACACACACACACACACACACACACACACACACACACACACACACACACACACAAAACTAAATGTAAATAAAACAAGTTCAAACTATGAATAAAACTATTTAACCTTTTAACTACCCCACCAAAAAATGTTTGGATTGCATTTCTTAACTCCTAATGTTGCTAGGTAACACACTCAATGAATTTTTTTCAACACATCCCATAATTTCAGCCTCTAACAAATGGTAGATATGTTCGTTTATGTTAAAAGTATCGGAATTAATACATAAACTATGAAAATTGTAAAAATAATAAAATGTAAGACCAATTTATTATTTATATAATATTCAAAATAAAAATTCAAAATAAAACAAAATTAAACACTAAATCACCTTTATTTTTTGAAGTACGCCATAAAACAGATGCAGATTCTCATTTAACATGTGTTCTTGTTTAAACCAAAATCAAGTGTAGCAGTGCAACAGGATGTTTGTTTGATTTTTTGTAAACCAACATTGCTGTGTGAATGATATTTCATGCTTTTCATGATAAAACAGTCATTCTTTAAATGACTTAAACATTCTTTATTTGAAACAGTTAAACCATGGCCAAAGGGTTAAAGTTAGGCAACTTTAACAAAATAAACAGTTTTTTTGTTAATTCAAATAATAAAAACGCTATCTAAAATGTATTTAGTTTATGAATTTTATAATGAAGGTAATATTATCAATATTTAATAATGACAGTAATGAATTAAATATATTTGCAGTATTTTTCAGCATTTGTAATGCTGGTTAATAAACATAAAGCTGCTTTTTAAGAGTAAAAAAATCCTTAATAAGACAAAAACATTAATAAACACATAAAATAAGAAAAAAACATTAATAAACATTAATAAATATTAATAAACATTAATAAAACATTAATAAACCTACTATATATAAATACTATAATAATAAATACTAAATACACTACTAAAATCATAATTTGTAAACGTTAAATTATGTAGTTAACTAATGTTGACAAATAAAACCTGACTGCATTGTTACAATTTCCATTTTAAATAAACTAAAACCACAAGAATCAAATGTGACTTACAGGACTCCACAGGCTCCAGATCTCCTTTATCAGAACCTGTCATTAACAGCACACGTCAAAAAATCACACACCATGTACATGATCATTTATAGATTTTGATAATGCCTGTGTGTATCAATACCTTGGTCCTGTTCGCTGGATGACACCCCTAACGAGACGTCAGTAACGTTCTCCGGGTTGAGATGTGCAATAGCATCAGAAATCCTGTCCAGCGAGATCAGGGCTTCAGCAGCATATAGGTGACCCAGGAACCTGAGACACACAGACACACAACCACAACTCATTAAAAATTGATTATAGATCAGCTGAATACATTGTTTAAAGCCATTTCTTAAGACAAAGACTAAAGCTAAACTGACTGCTTTATGCGCACTGACTTCAAGCGTTAGTTTAAGCTTCATCTGTGCCTGGGAAATCGAACCAATACAAACAAACAATACTTGTACATGGACAACACTAATTTTAGTATATTAAGATGATTAAGAAGAAAAAGATGTGAAGAAGGTCGAAATTAAATCGATTAATCGCGATTCTGAATCGAATCCTAAAAGTTCAGAATCGATTCTGTATTTAAATTGGATTGCAAAGAAAATAATTAAGTGCTCTGACAGACATGTATGTATTCTGCTGAATTCGCTTATTTTTGGACAAACTTAAACTCAGCATGAACCGGAAACTGAGACTATTTTTAGTTTTTTTTTTTTTTTGTTCTGTGATAAAGAAATTGCTAAATTAAATGAGAAGACGGTGGGTGTGGCTTGTTTTTTCTACTGCGTGCTCATTGGATGTAGAAAAGTAGGCATTTAATTAAGAAAACTTTGGGAAAAGGGTTTGGGGAAAGTCATTACAACCTAACAGACACCCCCTGCTCACCATTTCTGTTGTCAAAACTGACAGTTGGAGGGGCGTGGTTAAGTATGTTAGCCACGCCCAATGCCTCAGACAGACGTAATCTGAGACTTTATCTAAAAACAAACATATAGTGTCTTCAATTTCGGATTACAAGGGCATTTTTTTTTTCTTAATGACATGCACAGATGAATTGTTCACCACAAGCCTAGCAATGTGAGCTCACAAAATCAATATGGTTAGTTTTGATTTCATGTGTACTTTAAGGTTGTTGAACATGTGCTTTATTCACTGTATAATTTAAACATTCTGATTAAAGAGCCACGAATAAATATCTCACTTAGATTTTCCGTTTGATTGCATTAAATAACAGAAGTGTCAATTTAAAAATGCACAGATCTACAATGAAAGCATTACTTTCCTAACTGTAAATAGCAAATGTGCCATGGCTCGACGCAACTAACTCTTAAAAGGGAAAAGGAGATAAGACTCTGATTGGTCTATTCTCAAAACACATCCAGAACTCATTAGAGAATAAGCACAACCCTGTTAGACCATGGGCCAAGTGGGTTTTTCCATCCTTAAAATAGCAAAAGTGGATTCAGACACTCCCTTAATGCTTTTGCATCCTGAGCTTTAGATTCTGTACCTATTAAAATAGAGCCCTAAATGTTTCAAAGTAACGACACAATATTTCACGTGTACCATATAGTGTCATAAATTTCCTACTTCATTGTTTCTTAAGCATGTGTAGTTGTCAAGCATGTCCTTAGTAATCTTTTTTTCCAATACTTTGCATGCATTTAAACATATTTTCTGTCTATTTCTAAATATGTTTGGTGACTAAAATATTATTTGAATAAATATATCTGTTTAACTAAATGCGTTTTGTTCAAATGCACCAAAATATATGACCTATATTCCCTGAGAAATGGAATGAATACTCATTTTCGGGTTGAGCCCCTGATGTATTGTCAAAAGCCCCTGATCTTTTGGAATATGTTGCACTTAAAAAAAAAAATAGGTTGAATAACATTTATTTTGTTATCCAAGTACTTAAAATTACCACATACATTACATGCATTGCACTTAATGCAGTTTTTCTGTCGGGTACTTGTTTCTACCGTCAGGTAGGAGTGGGACTGTTGTCGCAAGTCAAATGTTAAAAAAATCCCACCATCATTCATTCATTATTTTGAGAAGCTGAAGATGATGAGGTAATAATACAACTGATTCTCTGAATAGTTTTAACTACTGGTGAAGCTTAACGTTTGTTTTCACAAAAAAAGCGTTTAGTGATTTTAGTTCATCCCAAACACTGACCCCACCAAAAAAAAAAACACAAAATTGTGAAAATGAAGTGGTCAGGCAAGGTGGGACCTTTTGTTTGACTGGTTGAACCACATAGCAAACGCCATGTCGCTCAGGGTTGTCTGTTTTAGGAGGGCAAATATTTGCTGAATGTTGTGAGAGCAGGACCCATAAAAGAGGTAAATCAGCCAGAAATGGAGAGACGGACTCACTTGAGCGATCCTGACAGTTTTGCCTGATGCAAGAGCTTTTCTGCGTGGTTAAGAGCCATTAAGTTGTCCCCAAGAGCAAGTGCCACATACGCACTGCAGGCTAGAATGGAGCACCTTTGAAGAGAGAAGCAAGCAGATTAAACCATTTACAACCAACAAAATAATTTCACAGAATTTAAAGTGACTTTTCACAGTTCTTTCTGGTAAAGAGAGTTATACCAGAGTAACCAGAGTATATACAGGAATCAGAGAGTAAAATACCTTTTGCGACCTCTTTTAAGATTCTTCCCATACATTTTAAGACCTTATAACCACTTTAGGTTTTAAGCGGAAACACTGGCGAGATTTTAGCTTTCATATTTACTAAATATTATGTAAGAGACTAATACAAAACTAAACATTATTCATATACTGAAAAGAAATCTAATTAATCTAGCTAATACAGCAGGTTGGCGCATATAAAACTGCAGAAATAATGGTGTTGACTTTATTACTGCAGTAAACAAAGCAGCATGATGTCAAATCTAGTAGGATTTCATAAACTACGCAGCATCCTGATATTCGAAGATTTAATTCAGGCGAACTTTAGCATACAACCATACATTGCATAATTGAAAATGATATAAAATGTAATACTTTGCAAAATAGCATTTAAGACTTTAAAACTTTTAGGGCCTTAAATTTCTCTACATTGGTTTATTAACTTTTATTACTTTTTAAGACCCCGCGGACACCCTGTATACACTCTGCAAAGTTCAGTGTTGGACAATTTCAACAAATCCAACCACAAGAATTGCCAGCTGCCTCGAAAATCGAATTTAAGGAAGGTTATTTTTTTTTTTTTGCAAAACATCCACAATATGGTAATTACAGGAATTAATACACATAGGCAAAAAAGCTAATATCAGTTTATGTACATAAAATTCAGTGATTGCCTCACAGCACGAAGGTCGCTAGTTCGAGTCCCGGCTAGGCCAGTTGGCATTTTTTTGTGAAGTTTGCATGTACACCCTGGTTTCCTCCGGGTGCCCCCATTTCCATTCCCATGTCATAAAGCGTGAATCATCTCAGACAGGTTTCTTAAACATGACAATGAGTTCACTGTACTCAAATGGCCTCCACAGTCACCAGATCTCAATCCAATAGAGCACCTTTGGGACATGGTGGAACAGGAGATTCGCTTCATGGAAATGCAGCCGACAAATCTGCAGCAACTGCGTGATGCTTTCATGTCAATATGGAGCAAAATAGTACCTTGTTGAATCTATGCCACGAAGGATTAAGGCAGTTCTGAAGGCAAAAGGGGGTCCAACCCGGTAGTAGTATGGTGTACGTTATAAAGTGGCCGGTGAGTCAAAATGATTGGCTTTCTTGTGAATTTTGTTTCTTTTACAAACATAACCCAAATTAAGTTTTACAGAGCAAGATTTATTTCACAGTAAGTCTGATAATATTTTTTCTTCTGGAGAAAGGCTTATTTGTTTTATTTTGTCTAAAATAAAAGCAGTTTTTAATTTTTGAAAAACATTTTAAAAAATCAAACCATCGCTATAGAATAACTTGCCTAATTAACCTAGTTAAGCCTTTAAATGTCACTTTAAGCTGAATACGAGCATCTTTAAATATATCTAGTAAAATATTATTTACAGTCATCTTCACAAAGATAAAATAAATCAGTTATTAGAGATGAGTAATTAAAATAATCATATTTAGAAATGTGTTGAAAAAAAAACTTAACTTAAGTAAAAATTGGAGAAAAAATATACAAGGAGCTAATATTTCAGAAAGGATTCATATATATATTTATTTTACATTTTAACAACTGTAATATTGTTCAAAATAATCTGGTTTTTCAATGTCCCTGCAGGTGAATCTAGATGAATTTAGATGTTTTATATATTAACAGACAGTAGTAAATGCACATGAACTTGTGTGTGCATCAAGGTGAAGTTGAACATGATAGGCTAATTTCCTAAATGCTCAACTTTGTTGCTGATGCTCCGTAAGAGGGTATGAGTAGGTAAAGAATAGAGTGCAAAACAGAGAAATACTCAGTGCTCTGAGCGGCTGCCTGTGACACAATAGGTTTCCAGGAAGAGCCCTTTGAGTAAATGCTGCCAGGGGCTCGTAAAAGTGTCAGTGTATCAGGGTGTCAGTGCAGGGTCAACACAATCCACACTCCACACCCCTTCCCTTCACAGGGACCTACATCCGGCCAGCCCTCTGGAGCAGACCGTCCCCCTGTATCAAAGATGAGGGGGAAGGGGACCGAGAGCAGGATGGAGGTGGGGTGGAAAGTCTAATCAATTCTCAAGGCAAAAAAAAAAGCAGATTGCAAGGGTGAACAGTGAAGTGTGTGTGTGTACAATAAGAAAGAGAGGTGCATTGTGAGCTAGTCAAGGAAACAAAACCTGTTGTCAGAGGAAACTAACAGAGTAAAAATAATGGAGGTTAATTGCTTTACTGAAGTTACCAAATTGAAAAAAAAAAACACTGAAAATTTTAAATGCGCTTTTTATTCTCTTAAAAAAAGAGAATTTAGCTTTCTGTGCTGACAAGTGCCCTCTTGAGGACTGCTTTTTATATAAAACACAAAAATGCTTTGCTTGCTCAGTATTTTTGCCTGGTTTTACAATATAAATATCAAACATTACTTAACAATGTTAATGTAAATATGAATCAAAAGCACTGTAAATATGAGCCTAAATTAAGTGAGAAAAAGATAAAAATGTCTGGCTGAGATTTGCTCTTCAGGGTTTGGACTTTCAGCAAAAAAACAACTCTGAAAACTGGACTGGCGCATTTTACTAGAACTTCTCTGTTAATTGTAACTTCTATGTTATGTTGCTGACAATATACATTGTAAAAGCGCTACAGAAATAAAATTGAATTGAATAATTGTGATTTACAGAAAAATGGATAGCTAATTAAAAAAAAGTTATAAATATAAATTATCTAAATATAAATTACATATATATATATATATATATATATATATATATATATATATATATATATATATATATATATATATATATATATATATATATATATATACACGGGGCTTTACATTAACACCCGCCAAATGCGGGTAGATATTGGTTGAGGCGGGTTGGACAGCCACTCCCACTAGCCACTTTGGCTGGCTAAAACTAATTTTTAAATTGCCAGTGCTGGCTCGTCGTCACTACAGAATACACTGTTAGTTTATGTCCATTTGTCTATTTGTGTACAAATGTGATCTTAGAATCGAGAAGCAGCACGACTGACAAAACAGCTTTTCACACAAGCAAAAGAAAGCAGGTGAATGAGAGGATCACGCACATGGTGAGACAGGCTTTTCACACTCACTGACGAGGGCTCTAGTGTTGTGCGCACAGGTGATTTGATGCGCGCCACTGTTTAATAGCTCCTGTGCAGTTTCCTCAGTCGAAGCAACTATGCCTGAAAATGAAACTAGTCCGATGCTTGTGCACCCACAGTCCTTCAAGAGCTCGAGATTTTTTGTAAGCAGCAGTTGTTGTCGCTTTTGCTTTAACCATTCTTTGTACAGATTATTAATTGGCCAACCAATAACCGTGTGCGCGGCATGATCTTTTCATTATTGCGCACAGAATGTTTTTACCAGCTTTCTTTTGCTTGCTGTTATTTTTGTTAATATAGTTTAATAATCATCCTTTACAATAATATTGCTTTAATATGTTGTTGTATGCATAGTTAACAGAACAGACTGTTGTGACTATCCTTGTTCAATGTTTCAAATTTGTCACATCTTGGATCTGCTGAGGCGTTTAGACGCTTCCTTTGCAAATAAAACATAGAACATCAAGTCTTAATTTGTTGCTGTTTATTGCAGAGGTAGTTGAACAAAAAACTGATATGAAATAAACAAAATCAAACGAATTTGGCCATCAAACACTGAAGGTAAGGTCTAAAGACCATGTGCTCCCAGCAGGCCCTTCTCCAGTAGGCCACACCCAGGCCTATGCACAACTGTGCATAGTTTTAGATGCGTGAGAATATATATATTTTTAAATGTCAGCTGTTTTGTTGAATAAAAAGTGTATGTATACAGCAGTGTTTTGCTTGTTTTGACACATTATTTAAAATTTGTGGCAAGGAAATAATTAGTTTGGTGTGGCCAGAGAAAAAAAAAGTAAATCCGTATTGTGTTGAGCACTGAAAAGTCCTGTGAAAGAAAACTAATTTCAATGCGACACTTTTTTATGAAAGCATAACTCATTTGCTCATGCTCATTGAGTAAGCTTACAAAGAAAAAAAGTTAAATGAATGAGGAGGCAAGTGGAAACAACACAAAATCTAAATGAAGTCATTTTAGCACGCCGCAACTCATGCCAAAGTCAAATTTATGCATATAAAATATATTATAATGCATATGCATATGCATAATATATCCAACTACAAAATTGTGGCCAGTGAAAATGGCGAGTGGCTGGTAACGGTGGAAAACTACTAGCCACAGTGGCAAGCCATGTATGTATGTATGTATGTAGACAGATATATTTATATATGTGTGTGCGTGTGTGTAAATTATGTGAAACTAAGCTTAAAACAAGAAATAAAAATATCTAAATTAGGCTTAATAATTTTCAAAGGGGAAAGTATATTTTAAACCCTTCATATGACATATTTTATGGAATATTTTGGGAAATTATACTGGAAAAATAAGCAAATTTCTTTTAGCAGTGACATACATAATTTATCAAACAATTGGTGGAGCTAAATCAAATGCGTTTAAAAGAGACCATTTTACCTCAGGCCTTTTTTATAGCAAGTCCATATAAAGTCTCCTGTAAGCTCACCTGAGATTCTCCACTTCCTGCTTTCTCAAGGGCGATGAGGGGGCAGCAGGAATGAACTTGTCCCCTTCCTGGGTTTTCCCACTGTCAGGCAAATAAAAAAAAAAATGATGGTGAAAAGAATGTATCTGACAAGTTCTTCATTGTGTTCAGTCAATTCAGGTTACTTCATGATCAGTTATTTTCAGTGCTTATGTTGCATGGATGTACAGGTACCTGCAGGCGTCGCTGGTCTCGCTGCCGCTTTCTGTGCCGCCTGACTGACTGTAGCTCTTGGAGCCGTTGTCTGGTTTGCTGTCGTGCTGTTGATGCTCTGGCAGCAGGAGTAAAGCATTCCGCAAACAGATTGCTGCAAATTCCATACTGGCCACTGGGATAGCTGCCGACTGCGCCTCGCTGCACACAAACACAAGCAGATGGGTCCATTGGTTTCAGGATGGTTAATGGATCAGAATTGTTTCTACTGATCTTTGATAAAGTAAGAAGCTTTAAAAGAGTAAAGTTTACCTAAAATTAAAGTCTCACCCTCAAATAATTCAAAACCACTACAAGTTGTGCTTTTCTTCTCAAAACAAATTAAGATATTTTGAAGAATGTTGGACAGTCACATTATGGCAAAAAAATACTATGGAAGTCAATGGATACTGGTTACTTACATTCTTTGAAAATTTACATTTTCTTCAAAATCATTAAAAGTTTTGTTTTTTCTCAATAAGAAATAAGATATTTTGAAGAATGTTGGATAGCCACACAGTAAGGCAAAAAAATACCATGGAAGTTAATGGATACTGGTTTCTTACATTATTTAAAAATATATATTTTCTTCAAAGTCATTAGTTGTATTTTTCTTCTCAATACGAAATAAGATATTTTGAGGAATGTTTGGACAGCCAAGTAAAATAAAAATAAAAATATGAGAGTCAATGAATACTGGTTTCTAACATTCTTAAAAAATAAATTCTTGTGTACAACAAAGAAAGAAAGAAAGTCATGAGGGTTTGAAAAGCGAGTAAATGAGGACAGAATAAGTAATTAAATACATAAAAACCACTAACCATCGACTTTCATAGTATTTGTGCTTTTCCTTCAATGGAAGTCAATGGATACTAGTTTCTTACATTCTTGAAAAAAATTTAAAAAAAAAAAAAAAATATATATATATATATATATATATATATATATATATATATATATATATATATATATATATATATATATATATATATAAATTATTTTCTTCAAATCCATTAGACATTTTATTTTCTTCTCAATACAAAATAAGATAATTAGAAGAATGTTGGATAGGCACATTATGGCAAAAAATATACTATGGAAGTCAATGGATACTGGTTACTTGCGGTCTTTAAAAATATATATTTTCTTCAAATTCATTACAAGTTTTGTTTTTTCTCAATACAAAATAATATATTTGAAGAATGTTGGAGAGCCACATTATGGCAAAAAAAGTCAACGAATACTGGTTACTTACATTCTTAAACACATATATTTTCTTGCATTCAACAGAGAATGAAAGTCATGCGGCTTTGAATCGCGAGTAAATGAGGACAGAATAAGTAATTAAGCAAATAAAAACCTGTAACCATCGACTTTCATAGTGTGTTTTTTTCTCCTTCAATGGAAGTCAATGAATACTGGTTTCTTAAATTCATTAAAATATATACATTTTCTTCAAAATCATTAGTTTAATAATTTAATAATTAATAATTCTGATTTCAATGGTATATTATAGTAATATTATAGTAATAATATATTACAGTAATTATAATATATGAATAAATAATAGCTTTCATTTGATGAAAAAGCAAATATGTATTAATATTGTGCTTAAATAGGAAACTATTTGGTACAATAAATTATTATGAAACTTACACAATTGCAATTTCAAGTTGTTTCAAGTACTTTATCCAAAAATTAAAGTATCAAAGTACTTTTCAAACCTTTACAACACTAGATTAAAATTCAAGCATATTCAATGTATGCCTTGTTCAAAGAGTACCCATACAAACCCATTACATAAAAGTTTTGGAACAATAAAGGCTGAGTAAAAGGCCAACTATCCCTTTAATGTCTTTGAATGTTATTTGTTCTGAGAGAGAAAAGAATAAGTGCAAAAGGATGACATCTTCTGGTGAAACCCTGTCACTACAGTGCATCATACAGTGCATGAATTGGAAATCGCATCCCTCCAATCAGGCAGACACAATCTCAAGCAGCTACATTTTGTAACTCCATTAATAATTAGCAAAATCATGGTTCATTAGTCCAAAATTATTAATACCTGTAGATGGTGTTTTGTGTGGACTGTGATGCTAGAACAATCTTGCGATGGTAGCCCTGCCCAACAACCGCCTGCACGATGCCCTTTTTACTGGGTAAACCTTTTGTTTCCTGCTCCGAACTCTAAGAGGAAACAAATGAAGGAAAGGTTATTAAAATAAATATGAATGTCAAATATATTTCAAAATCATCAATATACTACAAAAAGGTGTTTCCAACTTTAACAAATCTGGTCATACCAAAATAATTTTAAAAACATGCAAATGGTTTTAAGCATTTGACGTGAACAGACTTTAAATACGACAAAAGAAGTATGTTTCAATTTCTATTTCATTCAATTTCTTTTCTGCTTAATCCCTTTATTAATCAGGGCTTGCCACAGCGAAATGAACCACCAATTTCTATTTGATATGTTTATATTTCTGTTTCAAAGTTCAAAGTTTTATTTTAAGTTCAAAATAACAATATTTAAATAATAAAAATTAGTAAACACTAAAAAAAGTTGTTATTTTATAGATTTAAAAAAAAAATAGTTCAGCTAAAAATTATTATTTACTCACTATTTACTCACCCTAAAGAGTTTACAAACTTTTATAAGTTTGAAACAAAAGATATTCTGAAGAAAGCAGAAAACCTGTAACCATTGACTTCCATAGAATGAAAAAAAGTACTATGAAAGTCAATCGTTACAGGTTTTTATTCATTCTTTAAAGGATCTTCATTTGTGTTTAACAGAAGAAAGAAACTGAAACAAGTAAAGAGTGAGTAAATAATGATTGAATTTTAATTTTTAAGTGAAATATCCCTTTAATGACACTTTTCTAGGTATAACTATTACCCCCAAACTTTTGAATGGAAGTGTACTATTTAGAGGTTGGGGGAGTCTTTCATGTAAAAACAAAAACAAAAAACAGATGTGGGTTAATGTCTGTACCCCTTTATTAGCTGTGATGCAGCACTCTGCCAGTCTTAGCCAGAGTCGAGGGTTGGAGTGATACACCTGTACAGCCTCCATCAGACACTCAAACGCTGCCAGCGGTCGGCCAATATGGAGTAGCTGAATCCCGCAGTTATACAGCAGCTCATAGCGCTTATTCGCTAACAGAGCACACATGGGGATACCACTGAACTTCTTAGATGCTATGGGGGAGGAAAAAACAATGTTAAATACGAGGCTGGGAGAATATGCAATATTTCTTACAATACTAACTTGAAAAAAAAATTATTTATGGTATGATCATACTAAAATAAGCAGGTAATTAATATTTTTTTCTGAGCTAATTGAATAATACAAGGTATTTATTTTATTTAATGCCATGTCAGCAACCCAGGCCATTTTCATGGCAAGAACATTTCAATAATAAATGTACAATTAAAAACAACAAAAAATGCATTCTTTTTAAAGTTTTTGTAGAATTTCTTTGTAAAACTATTTGATTTATTTATTATTTTTATTTTATTTATTATAATTTTTTTATTCATCTTTTGAAGTCTACCAGGGGGATGGGCGGTAGTGGGTTTTAAACAAACAAAAAACAAACGAGCACATAAATTAAATAAGATTTTAATATAGGATAAAAATTCTAAAGTGTGTCACTTTGTTAAAAATGGTAAAAGTACCGTAATTAATACATAGACTAAGAAAAATCTGAAAATATAGCGTAAGACCAATTTATTTGAATAAATTACCAAACCAAAACATTTTTGAATGCTATTTCATCTTTATTTTTTTAAGTATGCCATAAAATATTTCATATTTTCATTTAACATGTTGCTGTTTTGTTATTTTTTTTACAATAAAAGCAAAATCAAGTTTAGTAGTGCAATGGGATTATGTTTGTTTATTATTTTTGTGAATCAACAACGCTGTGTAGTGTAAACTACTATTTAAAATGGTCATTTTTAAATGACTTTAACAGTCATTATTGAAAACAGTCAAAACATGGTCAACCATTTGGTGGAGCAGGCAATTAAAGGCTTAAAATGTTTTATTTTTTATTTATTTTTTTAAGTAAAACTGCTTTTATTCTAGTCGAAATAAAACAAATAAGACTTTCTCCAGAAGAAAAAAATATTATAGGAAATACTGTGAAAATTTCCTTGCTGTTAATCATCATTTTGGAAATTAATAAAAAAATAAATAAATAAATAAATAAATGTAAAATTTTTTTTACTTTAACAGTCAAGGTTTAAAACTTAAAGACTTTAAAAATGACTGAAAACTTTAGCGGAAATAAACAACCCATGTATACAGCACACAAATGCTTGGCACAAAAATATATTTAATTGTAAGTGATGTATTACATATACTATTATCACAGTATTGATATTTTTTCAATATATCCTACGCCTGTAATGTTAACTAACAAACTTGCAAGATATCCATAAATCACAATTTGTCCTCAAGTCCTGATCATCTTACCCTGCGCATTACTGCCGTCGCCAATCTGGGCGCATGTGTGGTCATTTTCTTGAAGTGCTTTTTTAAAGTAAAACAGACCAAGGTTGTGCTTCCCCATGGCAAAATGGATACAGCCCAGGTTATTCCAAAACATACACCTCACACATTCACCTTTGGAAAGTGGAGAAAAAAAAGCACAAGCACAAACATCAGAGAGAGAGAGAAGTTTTAACTGGAATTTTTTTTTTAATAAGCAAGCTATGTTACTAAGAATTTATGCAAATTGTATTTATTGTAAATTGTATTTATTAAGATGTATGCTAGATATCACGTTATGGAACATATTTACATTTTTACATATATAAAGACAATAAGAATCTGTTTTAGTTGTTCCCTCTGTTTAGCTTAAAGAGATTGACAGTAACTTTAAAGGTGCTGTATGCAAGTCTTTGAATCTTGTAAAGCATAAAAATACCATGATATGTTTGCAGATATTTAAGAAACATCCTAAGTGAACATTCTTTTTTATCTGAAAAACATTGCTTAAGTCAGATATTCTGCTATGAAAATGTGTGTAACGTGCTGGAACAGTGTCTTTGTTTTGGTTCTTTTAACCCGAAACACGACAGAAATTTAAATACAGCAATTCAGAAGCACAGAATTGTGCACTTACTGCACTCCGTCAAAAATGTACTCCAACGAAAGTTAATTTTCAAATGATTAATTTTATTTCCAAGATCTGAGGTGAACTATCTGCTGCTGCTTTCAGTATATAGCAATAAATGTCAGGTAAAAAAGCATTTAACACTGAATACAGCACATGATGTGTACCTGAGGTAATAATTTTAAGTTTTCTGTTGTTCAGATGCAAGAAATAGAAGCGGTTTCTAATATATCAATTGGAGGTGTTGGTTAGAACAAAAACTCCTTTTAATATGGAAAATATTCCTTCCTTCCTGCCGTTGCTTTTATATAGAACACGATTGAAATCAGCCTTTAGGCTCGACAGTCAGACTCCTGTTGGTCTCCAATCTGGCAACCTGCGCTTGCATTTGTTTTGATCCAGAAATGCAATTCCTAGTTCGGCAACTGGGTGTCGACGTTACATATTGCACCTTTAAGCATTCTGTATTAGATGATTTATAGAATTTAACATTTATTTTTAAGGTGCAGAATTGAGGTGTAAAATTAAAATTAGAAATTAAATTAAATTCACTGTGTTTTCTGCAAAGACAACCAGAGGTGCTGAAGTATAATTGGCTAAACTGGCAGTGTGCTGGTTATATAAACCAAAACGAAGACAGACATTCCAACACAGATCAAAGATCTTCAAATAAGAACAGCTGATTTTAGCATTCTTTTTTCAGATAAACAAATATGTTTACTAGCTATTTTTCTTAAACATCTGCAAACGTGTTATTTTCATGTTTTAAAAGTGTCAAAAATGTGCCTACAGCAACTTTAACTGCTTTTCATTTTTAGTATACTTTTTTATTCTTTTCTTTGCTGTTGCAATGTTTGCCATTATCATTAAACCATATGATTAAAGGATCTTACACAGAATGCTGGTCTTCATATATATAATTTCAACGAACATTTTATTGGAAGATTTTGTGACCGCTTGTAATAACACTTGCTATCTCTATGCTGACCAGATCAAGTCTAAGCACTGTAAAACTGCTAATAAGATCATCCAAATGTTCATTTTCATTATCATTACTTTGTTTCTTGTCTCTGTTACTCTCTGACCTGCTCATTCAGTTTCAGTTGATTGTACAACACAAAAGAAACACAAGGTTAAAAGGTTTAGGGAATCAGTCAAGTCTGGTGGCTTGCTTCTTAGACACCAATTAAGCAAACATGTTTTGGCAGAACCCGGTGTCAAACAAACAAACACTTATATAACATCCATAGGTGTTTTTTTGTTTTTAATGAGGTGCATATTATAAAGGTTGTGTACCTGTTTTCAGTGGTCCTGGGTGCTCTGCAATATTTGAACTGTTGAGTAATTTCACAGCTTTACGATAATTTCCCCTCAAATACTCAAAATTACTCTTCAGGAAGAGCGATGGTGCAGACTGAGGGAGGAATGTGTAAATACAGTCAATTAACTAAATGTATATGGCACATATACTGTATTACATGTGGACATTTACAGTTCATGTACATCATGTGAATTTACTCACATTTCCAGATGTGTTCATCACAGATTTGATTTCCCTTTTGCAGGCCTTCAGGGACTTCATCTGGATATAGGCTCGCACTTTATACTGCAAGTACAAACACAACAAACTACAGCTGTTGCTTATGACTGTTAGCTGAAAATATATAAAGGTCTTTTTAATAAGGACTCAATGTTTCCCCTACCATTGTGATAGAGGTTCACCCCAACTCCCCAACGTCACTCCCATTAAAATAAATGTATTTTATTTTATTTATATAGCATAGGATCAAAACAAAACCCACTTATAAGTAAGCCCGCACAAAATCTGTGGGCGCAGATTTCCGCAGATTTTTAGCCCATCATTGAGTTCGTTTACTTGTGTAAACATGTAAATTTATATTTATTCAGTTTCTAAATTAATTTCACTAATATTAATGTGATATAATAATAGTTATATTAAAATGTTTATATGATTTATTTAAAAATACATACGGTTAAGTCATATTTTCAGTAGATAGATTATATAAGAGACTTGCTTTGTTTACCAAATAAGTGGATCTAATTGGATTTGCATTGTAAACATTGAATAAAAGTTAAATTATTAATAATATGCATTATTAATGTATTATAAATGTTTGTTTTTTTTTCATTATGATACCTCTTAAAATCATTCCGCATAAATCCGCAGAAAATTCTTTGCAGAAATAAACATTTTTGTCTGGCCCTACTTAAAGGGGACCTATTATGTTCATTTTTACAAGACAAAAAAATAAATAAATCTCTGATGTGCCTAGATTGTGTGTGTGGACGAGTTTCAACTTAAAATACTCCACAGTAAACTCAAATTCCACAGAGTTTTAATAACTCTTTGAACTGCCTCTTTTATGCTTTGATACAAATTGTGCTGTTTAGGTGACGGTCACTTTAAATTCGAATGCGATCGAATGCTTTTTTCAAAAGATGGCGAATACAAATAGAGTCAGAGTATTGGCAGTAGGTATGGGACGATAACCTTTGTCAAGGTAGACTGGGGTTTAGAAAAGTCAAGGTTTTTTAAAACCATCAAAATTTTCTGCAATACCGCTTCTAAGTTATCTGTACGTTTTTTGTTTTTTTTTTTCGTTTTTTTAGGGGGGGGTTTAGGACAACAATATCTCCAGCAGAAAAGATGCCATTTTAAATTGTAAAAAAAATCAGTTTTTGAAACAAATGAAGACAACAAAATTGAATAATAGGGTATATGCCGAGCTAGTGTTTTTCCCATACTGATAAACGTCCGGTGACCTGTTATTGTGAACTTTTTTTCCATTTTATACAGTTCATTTTACAGCATTGATGTTGTAATGTCATTAAAATACATTTAGTTAAATAAACTCCGGCATTCATTTAGTTGCTCGAGCATAAAACTAGACAAAAAGCCATTTACTCGCACATGCCCGTCAGAATTGGCAGGCTAGCGCAGAAGTTCCATTGAATATACTGGGGTAAAATAAATATGATCATATTCTAAATACATGTTATAAAGACATGGCGGGGGGAAATGTAATTTAATGCAGTGCTTCTTGTACAATCTGAAAGCCACTTTATATCGGATATCACTCAGCCAGTGGAGATCGCAGATTTTTAAAGAAAACAGACCTTAAACGTGCTGGTTTTTGCACTGGCATACAGTTCGCCGGAATCGCTTAACCCAGGTTACTGGCAAATTAAAAGTCCCATTAGCATGCTTCGGCATGTACCCTACTCATTTAGCCAGACATGTTCACTGTTACAAAATATTTGAAATGTTTCTCAAAATAAACTAAAAATTTTCCCTTTTGAACACAATATTTTTTTTTTTACCCAGACATTTAAAAAGACAATATTTTAGAGCAGTAATCTCAATACCGTGATACAGTGAAACCTTAATACTTATATGCAAGGTTATCATACCGTCAGAATCTTATACCAGCCCATGCCTAATTGGCAGCTTAAAAAAGGTGTGAAAAACTAAAAATGTTAAAAAAGAAGTGGCTCAGAAGAAGGCAGTGTATGGAGACTACAGTTTCCACTTGTGCATTTTAAAACTTAACATTTAACATGCCACTTAGACATTATCTTCAGCTGGTATGGTGTGAAAACTAATGATGGACGGCGGCTTCTCAGTCAGGGCTGTTTATGCCAATGAGGGAGAGATCAGTCATGGGCGGGGTTTCCCCTTCTAATAACAGACTGTTGACTTTTTAAAATCTTTTTTAAACTCAGTGCATTACCTGGTGCATCTTTGATTTAGCGGCCTCAATCATAGCTGTGAACTCTGCTTTCAGAGCAGCAGATTCCTTATTTGTGCTGCTGGCATTCTGAAATATAACATGTGATAGAAGAAGTTTAATGGAAAAATAGAGAAAACTGATTCTGAAACAACAACTTACAATCCAGCGTTCCACGGTCTGACATATTTAACTTATTGGTCATCTGGTAGCAAGAATGTTCTAAATTTTACAGAGACGCAATTAAAAAGATTTTTTAACAACACTTTTATTCAATTACGATGCATTAAATAAAAGCATTTCTGTTACACTGAAAATTGAAGTAAAAACTGCTGAAAATTGTCCTTATGGGTTTGATAAAACTAGCTTTGGTAATCATAAAAGACTTAATGTCGCTGTGGCTTATTACACAACATTTTTTATACTTAAGAGATAGAGTTGACCCAAAAAACTAAAATCTGTAATCATTTACTCATCCTTGACTTGTTCCAAACTGGTTTGAGTTTAAGTGTTAAACACAAAAGAAGACAGTTTGAAGAATGTTGGAAACAGGTAACCATTGACTCCCATCGAAAAAACAAATACTATGAAAGTCAACTGACAAAATTCAGGGGTGAACGATGCCTTTAAAAGATGCTAACGGAGATAATAAAATTGGTCATTTATTATTTTTTAATTATGTGTATCATTACAGAGATGAAAAAAATGAGAGATAAAACATTTTTTGAAGAATGTTGGAAACCAGTAACCACTGATATCCATAGAAGAAAAAGCAAATACTATGGATTTCATTGGTTACCGGTTTCAACATATCTTCTTTTGTGTTCAACAGAAAGATGAAACTAGTCAAAGATGAGCAAATTCAAAAATTGTTTGGGTGAACAATGCCTTTGAAAGATGCTAACAGAGATCATAAAATGCGTCAATAAATATTTGTTTAATTACGTGTATCATTCCAAAGATGAAAACTATTTCGAATAAAAATTTATTTTGAAGAATGTTTGAAACTGGTAGAGTAGAAAAAAAAATACAATGAATGTCAATGGTTACCAGTTTCATACATTCTTCAACATAGCTTCTTTTGTGTTTAATAGAAGAATGAAACAAGTGAAAGATGAATAAACTGACTAAATTTGGGGGTGAAAAATGCCTTTAAAAATGCTAACAAAGACCATAAAACGGGTCATGTATGTATTTTATTTTAATTAATTGTATCAATCCAGAGATGAAAACAATAACAAAAAAAAACTTTAAAGAATGTTTAACATGTTTAACATCAACATTCTTCAAGGTATCTTCTTTTGTGTTCAACAGAAGAACAAAACTAGTCAAGGATGAGCAAAGATGAAAACAATAACAGATAAAAAAAACTTTGAAGAATGTTGGAAACCAGTAACCATTGACATCCATAGTAAAAAAAAAAAAAAAAGCAAATGCTATGTAAGTCAGCGGTTACCAGTTTCCAACATTCTTCAAGATATCTACTTTTGTGTTTAACAGAAGGACAAAACTAGTCAAGGATGTGTAAATTGACAAAAGGTTTGGGTGAACGATGACTTTAAAAGATGCTAACAGAGATCATAAAACAATTTCTATTTTTTTAATTAAGCGTATCATTCTAGAGATGAAAATAGTAACAGATAAACATTTTTTGAAGAATGTTGGAATACGGTAACCGTTTCCATCGTTATACAAAAGATATCTTCTTTTGTGTTCAAAAGAAAGACTAAAATAGTCAAAGACGATTAAATTGACACATTTTTGGGTGAACTATGTTGTAAAAAGTGTCAAACATGATTATTTTTTTAAAGTGTATCATTCAAAAGTTGAAAACAATAACAGATTAAAAAATAGAATAAAGTGCACAGGTCTTAAGAAAAATATATTATTTGTAGCACAACCAGTGCTATGAAATCTAAAGTGCTTTAGTCTACTATCATTTTTAAAATATTACATGATTTTTTTGAATGTCACAACTGAAAGCACACTTAAAGCCAACAACCCTTAGAAAAATAAAAGATCTAGTGAGTAAGAAACAATCAATAACTAATAATTTTAAAGAGAAGGGATGCATTAAATGTTTAGTTTTCCGTTTGGGGCTGAAAAAGAAAATGTCCAAACACATCTCAATGCAGTGTGATGGTTTCACTTGCCTACCACAATTTTAATTTAGGTATAAAGAGTCAAACATCTCTCACCTCTCCTTTGCCATTTTTACTGGTCCCGTCCTTCACGGTGAGCTTCTCCAGGACGGCCAGCAGGTGCAGTGCCTTCTCAGGCTGGAAAGTGAGGAGGTACAGATCCACCAGCAGGAAACAAACGGCCTGAGCAAACTTTTCTTCTAGGACAGAGAAAGCCATCAAGCCATGCCATACTACTGCACCTGACCAGCTAAAAGACTTTAGCAAGTCCAAGTGCAATACATTGTTTTATAACACTGCTTTTCTGTACAAAAACAATTTCATTTGCATTCTGAAACATACCAAATGGCTCGAGAAACTGGTAGAGCTTCTCCCCAATGCATATGGCTTCTGAATACTGACGCATGTGGTAATGGATCACTGCTTGATTGTAGTACAGGATGCTGTTCTCGACATCATCCAAACCATCAATATCTTCCACAGCTGTATGCATCTGCAAACAACAACAACAACTATTATTAGTAGTAGAAGTAAGAGTCTAAAGTCATTTTATTGTCATTTGTTAGACAAAATTGGTAAATCAAATTGATGCACCAACACTTCAGTTAATTTATTATTATTTTTTTTTTCTGAAACATCAGTTTGGGCCCAAAAGTGTTTCGATGTGTGGGCTGCAGTAGAGATCTAAAATTTGTAATCCCGCTCCCGGGGGTTGATGTGTTCGCGAACGGAGGAGCAAAGGCAAAAACCACCCAGCTACATGATACAGGGTCCAGACAGCCTATAACAAGCTGTCTGTATAAGCACACACACACATAGATGCACAGCCCCAAGCAAGCGACACACAGCATCACACTCTCACATTCACACACATACATACACGTGCTCGCTCGGGAGTCGAGAGCGATATTGTTAGACCGCCCCCTCCAATTCAAATAACAACAGTTACCGACCGCTCCCACACTTAATTTAGAAATTTATACCATGATACAAGAAATCTAGTCGAGTCCTGCGGCTGTACAATGGGAGCTGCGGGACTCGACTAGATTTCTTGCATCATGGTATAAATCATTCCACAAGATGTTGGTAAATAAAAATGACTATTATTTACAAGAATGTAATAAATTGATCAAAAATTACTTTTTTCTAAAATATTTGAATCATACTGATGTCATATGTCAAAGCTAAATCAATGTTTAATATATAGAAAGAGATGAATAAAACAGTGTCCATAATGTGCCATTTATCTCAAAAAATATATTATATATGTTAATATTGAATAATTTATTAAAAAAAGATTAAACCCTATGATTAAAAAATAAATATCATTTTGGTGCATCCTTAATTTTCCTCTCCAACTCAAAGCCTTCACTTTTAGCATCCCTTAATAGAGACATCAGTGATACCATACCTGATTCTTCAAGGTCATCAGCGTCTGCTTCAAGGTGCTGCTTGTTGTCTGCCCACTTTTATAAAACTCAGTGACCGCTTTGTTCATTGTAATCTTGTAGTCCTCTTTGTTCAGCTCCTGAAGGTTGTCAAGATATTTCAGAGACTCGTCATAGCTTCCAGTCTGGAAGAAAAACGCAATATAATGTCACAGAGATCTGGAAAAAATAATCACAAAAAATATGTCTTTCACAGACATCTATATAATAACTATTTACCTTAAACGCCTCGAAAGCATTGGTTGCAACCTCTTTCTCTAAATCCGACATCCCAGGGGATGAAGCGATGTCATGCTTCATGTCACCAGATTGATCTTAAAAGAAAACAGATGCAGTTAATGACAGGACATATTCAACTCATGCAGTATTCAATTGAGGTAAAGATTGTTTTATTTTCGCACATTCGTTCAGTGAAAACAACTTGTGACTAGGCATTGGGCAATAACCGTTTACAAGGTATACCAGGTTTGAAAAAGTCAAGGTTTTAAACCCGCAAAAATGCTCTACTGTACCATTCCTAAGATAAGTGTAAGAATGTTTTTTTTTTTTTTTACGTTTTTTAGGATAACAGTATCTCCAACAGAAAATATATTTAAAGATGCCATTTTAAATTGTAATGAAATCAGTGTTTTTGAAAATAATGAAGACAGCAGAGGTCAATGACTCATTTAAATTATGTAGTTTGACATGTTTAGAGCTCCAAAATATTATAAATGTTTCTCAAAATAAAATATATTGAGTTCAATGGGGAATAGTTTTTTTTTAATAATAATAGAGCAATTATCAAAATAATGTGAAACCATGAGATTTTTATCCAAGGTTATCATCCTGTGAGAATTCTTTAGCCTACTTGTGACATGCTCACTACATAGTTTAGCATGGTAATTAAAATATATTCAGTCTGAAATCACACCGAATTATAACTTGAAAACAACATCAGCACTATTTATTTGACTGTGAACAATGTTGTACTTTAAAAGTCTAATATGATTTCAATATTTAGAATTTGCAAAGAATATTTTTTTTTTAATTATGTTAAGGAAAAAGTCAGAATGTGTGAATGAATATAAAACTAACTTTACCTCAATACTGAGGTAAAGTTGGTTTTATATTTACACATTAATTCGGTGTCAACTTGTGACACACTCCCTATTAGAGGCAAAGTTGGTTTTATATTTGCACATTTGTTTATTTGGAAGTCTCTATATTGTTTACCATGGTACTTTGAATATTCGATCGGAATTAGCATGCAAGTGTGACTTAAAAACAACATCAACACTGTTTAATTGACTTTGATAGTCACTGGCTGCTAGTATGATTTCGCCATTTAGAGTTTGCAAATAATAATTTTATGAAATTATATTATTAAGGAAAAGTCTGAATGTGCAAATATAAAACCAACTTTACCTCTATTACCTCAATGAATATCCACGGACAGCACTGACAGCCATTATATGACTGCAAACTGCACTAAACAATAAAAACAAAAGCATTTGTCATATATTTAAACAGCTATTTAAATAAAATGCTAACTCAAAATCCTAAATGTTACACAATAATATGCATTAAAGCATTATTTATATTCTAAACTAACTATAAACAACATAACTCATTTAACGTACAAGCATTACTGGGCAAGTTCATTAACAGTTAGCTATCTATTTAGACGTTGTTATTCAAACTATGCACTGTAAACCAAACTACAAACTTTTATAAAGCTACAAATGTAAAACTTATAAACAAAACAAGAATCTGTTTGCGGTAAAATCCTCTGTTTACATGCCCGGCTGCGCTGGAGAACAGCTGCAGTGTTTTGCAAGACCCGCTGTATGTCAAACACGCCGCCTACCTGAGCCTGTTTCAGCCATTCCTTCAGTTATATGGACGATAATTCACTTTTTCAACAGATAAAGGTGTAATTAATTCCACAATTTGAACCGACGGAGAGAAAACGGAGAAGGTGTGTCTCTTCTTAGCAGCTTCAGAATTCCGCCATGAATATTACCCACAACCGCCGCGCGAGTGTTTTTTTCAAACCGGAATTTATGTTCGCGATTGACATCTATCGGGTTGGAGGAAAAACTACAACTATTTTTTTTTATAGTTCACTCAAAATACGATAACATTCTGTCATCGTTTAACAATCGTTAACAACCTGTTTGACTTACTTTCTACAGTTGAACACCTGTAACCATGACAGATTCGCCTCGCCCCTTTACTACAAACTAGTACGTTAGAAAAGTAGGTGTGCTAGACCTTTTTTATAAAATGCACAATTGCACATTATGCTTTGCGTGTAAGCATGAGTCAAGTCAAGTCAACTTTAATGTCAATCAAACCATGCAACAGTACATTACACAGCAGACTGAAACTGCGTTTCTCCCACACTCCAATGTGCAATTTAAAAACAAAAATATGACACACACTAGACATAAACTAAACATTTAACTAATATAGTACAAGATAAATTAAATAATAGACACTAATAAACTGTGAACAGCTACCATGTATCCTAAGAACAGCTACCATATATCCTAAAACAGCTACCATATATCCAGCTACCATATATCCCATAAGAAGGATGCTTTGAACTTCTGGTCTGCAGCTTGATGTGTATCTTCAAGGAGCTTAGAATGACCAAGCAGCGACACTCAATAGAACATTCCAATGCAACAGCAGCGCCCATTTCACCATCCAGCTTATCCAGCAAGTTTTTATGCAGCGGATGCCCTTCCAGCTGCAACCCATCTCTGGGAAACATCCACACACACATTCACACACACACTCACTACAGAAAATTTAGCTTTCCCAATTCACCTGTACCGCATGTCTTTGGACTGTGGGGGAAACAGGAGCACCCGGAGGAAACGCAGGGAGAACATGCAAACTCCACATAGAAACGCCAACTGATTCGAGGCTTGAACCAGCGACCCAACGACCTTCCTGCTGTGAGGTGACAGCACTACCTACTGCGCCGCTGCCTCATGAAAAGCAGCTGTTTTGTTTTTTATTTATTCATTTAAAAAGCCGACAAAGCTGAAATACAACCTGAAAGACGACAATACAACACTTACAATCATAGACTGGTGATTATCAGCACTTTTAATAGTTTACTTTACAGAATGTTTAATAAATTAACCATATTTGTTTTCTTGAAACTGTCCCTTTTAGGTGAAATTACTTTAAGTTACTTTAATAGTTTTCGGACTGGCATATTACCTACTGACATGTTAAAATAAATTAACATGACTTTCAATATGGGATGTTGATAACAGATTAGCAGTACTTTTTGTTGGAGCATTATATTATAATAGTACATGGTATTTTCTTCAGTGTTGTCTATTAAAAAAGACTTTCCTTCTTTTTAAAAAGCTTCTTTCTCCAAATTTATTTATACATACAGTACATACATATATACACACACACACACACACACACACACACATATATATATATATATATATATATATATATATATATATATATATATATATATATATATATATATATATATTTTTTTTTTTTTTTTTTTTTTTGTATACTCATTTTTTCTCCACCCTAATTTGAGTAAAACAAAACAAAAAAATAGTAATTAAGTTATTTTGTTAACCTTACTTTTATGTTACATGTAAAACATATATTTTAAATATCAGATGTATTAAACAGTCTTGACAACATTTTGAATATTGTCTGTTTCCATTGGCATATTGTTTTAAAATGTTTTAAAATGTTACTTTTTAAAGGGGATGTACTCGTTTTAACTCATATTTAACTCCATATTGTAATTCATTCTGTCTAACAATATTATATATATATTTATTTTGATGCCTGTTTTTTTTTCATTTTTTAGCTAAATAAAAACAACAAAAATGTTTTTAGAATAGCATTTTTTTATTTTGTAGGGATTAGGGAAATTAATGTCTGTATTTATACTGTTTTTCACACACACACACAAAAAATTATTATTGACACCATTATAGAATAGATGATAGATGGTGAATGCAGCCACACCCCAAACAACTTTTAAAATGTACTGTAGTAGAATAATACAAAATGTAAATTACAAATTAAAATTAATACAAAATGCAAAAAGTTAACACAATCATGCAATTAATTTAATACAATAAATGTAAATCAACATAAGTGGCAGTGGTGATGCTGCTATGAAGCACTATGCACAAGTTAATGACTATGTGGTCATTTCTATAGGATTATTAATAAACATTTGTCAGAGTTATGAAAATGTAACAATTACATTGCTCAATTGATAAAAAGATGCACCAAATTTTTAGCTTCGGCTTAGTCCCTTTATTCATCAGGGGTCGCCACAGTGAAATGAACCGCCAACATATCCAGCATATGTTTCAAGCAGCGGATGCCCTTTCAGCTGCAACCCAGTACTGGAAAACATCCATACACACTCATTCACACACAAAAACTAAGGCCAATTTAGTTTGTTCAATTCACTTACACCGCACAACTTTGAACTGTGGGGGAAACTGGAACACTCAAAGGAAACCCACGCTAACTCGGGAAGAACATACGGAAACTCCATACAGAAACACAAACTGACCCAGCCGAGGCTTAAATCAGCAACCTTTATGCTGTGAGGCGACAGTGTTTACCACCGAGCCAACATGTCACCCGAAATGAACAATCAACCACAACAATTCTTCTACTAAAACTTATGAAGACTGAAAATGGTGTATTAAAAAAAATTAAGTCATTTAGGATGTAAAGCGTACAGATTGTGGCAACATATATTTTGCAGAGAGCACAGAAAGATAAACAGTTACACAAATGTGGTTATAAGTCGGTAAATAATAACTTCGGTAAATAAGTTTTGGATTTTTTTTTTTAATAATCTACAAAAAATATTAGAAGCCATTAACCCTCTTAAGGCAGGCGTTGCAGATTTGCAACAGATAAAAATTAACTACCTTATTACTCCAGATACATATTTTATGAGTTTTTTTACTCAGAAGTACCACTGCAGAACTTGGTTGTCCATTAGAAACAAACAGTATTCCCACTTGCACACCAGATGACACAAAAGACAAAAACTGTTTCTTGGAGTACACCATAAAGTGACTTGGAAACAGGGCCGGCCCGTGGCATAGGCAGTATAGGCCAATGCTAAGGGCGCTGTACATCCAGGGGGGCGCCACAAATGAGAGCGGTTAAGTTGGTTTTGTTTTCGGTTTTCCTGACACGTTCAGTGATAGACGGCAACTACTCTCAAATACCTCTTACCCTAAAAAGATCTAAAGTGTGTTTCCTACAAAAAGGAAAAGCTGGTTATGTTTCACAGCTGTCTTTTTCTTTTTTTTTCGCTCAACATTACGACCACTGCTCCATTTAAGCCCTCGCCAATATGCGTTCAGCCGGAAGAGCTCACGCCGAGCGGAGGCCTTGGTAAGGGACCGTCGGAAAAGTGCTTTTTTTTTCTTTTTTGGCTCCGTCCTGCGTGTTTTATTTTAAACACAACTAATTTTCTCTTAAATGAGCACAAACAGTTACTAAAGTAGTCGAATGCTTCATTATGGATCTGTGCATTCTTACATTAACACCCATGTTATCAAACAAATCACAATAAGAGATTCACTAGCTGCTCTTCACTAAATAACTATAGGAACTTTAATCAATATGCAAATACAATTAAAAGTGAATTAGATTTTATAGCTTTATTTAATTTCTGTATAGGCCATCGATTTTAATAAGCTAAACCTTTTATTTTATTGTCAATATTTTCTAATGTTTGCTATGTATTCTATCATTTGAAGCTATTTGTTGTCCCATATTTTTTACATCCAACGTTGGACAGATTGCTAATCAATAAACAGCTATAGTGCTATCTGTTAGTTTTGACGTCAGCTAATGTTATGGAAGGGCATAGATGTTATGGAAAATAGTAGTAATGTATCTACCCCCATCATTCCTTCCTCAAGCAAATGCGTAAATATTAAATCTTTTCAGCATTAATGTTAATTGCATTGGCATATTTATCTGACGTTTTCCCAGCTTGTAGTAGTCGATCAAAAAGCTATTTAGTTTCTTATGACTATACAGTGGAATTTACTGCGATGTGACAGGGGCCCCACCTGAAATCTTGCCTAGGGTGCCAAATTGCTTAGGGCCGGGCCTGCTTGGAAACATGACCTACTCAATGAGGATTTGAGATATTGGATTTGGATCCCATATTGTTTTTGTTGTTGTTCTGCCACAGAAAAGCAATGTGTTACATTGTTTGAAAAGTTGTATATAAAAAGTTATTGTTCATATTATATTCAGTCGTCAGTGTCTAATTACCACACTGGGCCAATGTTGCAAATCTGCAACATCCCAGAACGCCTTGCATGTGAAGGTCTCTCTAAAAATAAAGTCAGGATTCTATTGTACTACCCCATATGATAATTTTCCCCAAATATCAGATTTTCCCTGTTTCTAAAACTTAATTTGAGCCTGAGAGTTAAACACTAATAGTGATGTTGAAATATTGAATAAAATGTAATACTTGATGAAAGACTTCAAAAAGCCAAAACTGAAAAAAAAAACAATTATAATATTTGACTCTGAACAGTTGGTTTAAAACCAAACTACATGAACTTCTTATGACAAGTTATTTTTATAATTTGCATATTTGTATCAAATCTATTGTAGGAGTATTATACATGCTAAATATCAAGTTGTGTATTTTTTTCTACAAGCTTATTCTTAACTAAATTGACAACTTTAAAAGTGAACTCGATATAGATTCATTACTATGGGGAACTTGGTGTTGGTAAAAAGGTAAGGTCATTTAATCTGGAAAATAAAAATCTCTAAAGGAACATTTTTGCTTTATGTAATTTTTGTGGTCAAATATTCAGAAGATCTTTAGAAGATTGAGCTTCTTCTTTCAGATGCCTGTTGAGAGACAGTTGCGTATCGCCTGAAACACAATGGAAACTGATCTTTGACTGCTCCTCTGAACTGCTGACTGGCAAATGCATAGATGATTGGGTTGAGGCAACAGTGACTCAAGGCGATGGTTTCCACCCACTGCATGGCAAGACTCAAATCAATATGCCACTCGCAAGAAAAGAAGTACTCCATTCTCTGCAGGAACAGAAGAAATATGACAATGTTGTATGGGGTAAAGAAGAGAAAATAAACCGTTACCACAGCCAGGATCAGTTTGACCAGTTTGGGCTTTTTTTCTGATTTCATTCTGAACAGAGTAGAGATAATCCGGGAATAACAAAAGATCAGGATAATCAGAGGGAAAATCAAGCTCAGAAGGTTCATGTTAATGTAAGTGAAGGACATCCAGGATGTATTGTCAGGAAAATCAGGTTGGCAGGATTTTATGTGGTTTAAATCAAATTTCTCGTTGGCAAAAATGATGTTAGGTAAGGACGCCAACAGGCTGAGCATCCATACCAACAAGGCCAAACCCAATTTTGCAGAGCGGTTTCTGAAGAACATACAGTTGGGATGAATGATAATGGCATAGCGATCAAGCGTCAAGAGAACCATGAAGAAGATGCTGGCGTAGAGACCAATCATGAAGAGACCTGTGATGGTGTGACACATAAACTTGCCAAAAGTCCGCTGATTCATGGCATTGTGAGCCCAAAATGGAAGTGACACAAGGAAGAGTAGGTCAGATAGGGCTAGGTTGAGGAGGCACACGTCTGTCATGTTGGATTTTTGACGACATCTTATGAAGACCCACACGACCAGACCATTCCCAATGATGCCAATGATGAACACTATGCTGTACAGGATGGGAAGGAAAACCTCACTGAAAGCCTTCGTCTTGGCATCGTTGCATGGTGGTGCCAAATGTTCAGTTTCGTTATAATTGTAGTATTTATTAAAACCTGTACACAAAAAACCCAATTTTAGGCCATAAAACAAATGTAAACTTATAATATATGTATGCTAAGATCCTAATATTAACACAGCTGATCAACATTTCTTTAGTTTTATAGAAGACAAAATGTTTTTGTTTTTTAAAATAAATAAAGTAACAACTTAAACTTCACTTTGTGCTTCATGACATGGTTGGGAATGATTTTTGCATGTTGTAAACTGATCCTTACCTAAATATTCACATATACACTCACCGGCCACTTTATTAGGTACACCTTACTTGGACCCCGTTGGACCACTTTTGCTTTCAAAACTGCCTTATTCCCTTATGGTATAGTTTCAACAAGATACTAGAAATATTCCTCAGAGATTTTGGTCCATATTGACATGATAGCATCACGCAGTTGCTGCAGATTTGTTGACTACACATTCATGAATGTGAATCTCCCATTTCAACACACCCAAAGATGCTCTATTAAATGGTGTTGACACCAAATTCTGACCCTGCCATCCAAATGTCGCAGCAGAAATAAAGACTCATCAGACCAGGCAACGTTTTTCTAATCTTCTATTGTCCAGTTTTGGTAAACCTGTGTGAATTGTACCCTCAGTTTCCTGTTCTTAGCTGACAGGATTGGCACCCAGTGTGGTCTTCTGCTGCTGTAGCCCATCTGCCTCAAGGTTAAACATGTTGTGCGTTCATGTTCTTCTGCATACCTCGGTTGTAACGAGTGGTTATTTAAGTTACTATTGTCTTTGGAACCAGTCTGGCCATTGCATTTGCGCCCACAGAACTGCCACTCACTGGAATTTTTTTCTTTTTTAGACCATTCTCTGTAAACCCTAGAGATGGTTGTGCGTGAAAATCCCAGTAGATCAGCAGTTTCTGAAATATTCAGACCAGCCTCTCTGGCACCAACAACCATGCCACATTCAAAGTCACTTAAGTCACCTTTCTTCCCCATCCCCATTCTGTTGCTCGTGTAAACTGCAGCAGATCGCATTGACCATGTCTACATGCCTAAATGCATTTAGTTGTTGCCATGTGATTGGCCGATTAGAAATTTGCGTTAAAGTGCAGTTGGACAGGTGTACCTAATAAAGTGGCCGGTGATGGTAAATATAATTATTTTTTACTTTAGTACAAAGTAGAAAACTTTTTTTTTTTTAAAATGCCTTTGACATGTATTTTAATATCAATTTAAACATTTATTTTCGCCTAAAGAAAATACATTGAATCAAAGGTAAAATATTGTTTTTTATAGATGATTTATTAATTGATTTATTTTGGTTGACTTAAAAATAAAATCCCAGTAAAGTTGTACTTTGGACATAATTATTATAAATACATATAATGCTAAAAAAGGGAGGCAAACAAGCGCTGATGTAAAATCTGAATGCTTTAAACACAATCTTTAAAATATGAGTTGTATTAAAAATTTTGCAATTATATGTCAGAGGTTTGAATAGGGGAATACCTCTGGTTTACAAGCTCTGTTCATATGGTTAATATTGTTTTCCTGTGAACTGAGCCGCTCTGAAAACATTTAATGGGACGCTGAATATAACACTGATCAGGTATTTACAGCGCAGCCCCGCCCACATTCGATTGGCTGTCACGTCATAGAATAGAATGTGTTCGCGCGCACAGCTCAGTTCAGTGAAGATCCAAGCAGTAGCGAAGAAAATCACTTGAGAAGCGACTAGAAATCTTTCTTGACGTACAGTCGATAACTATAAACATAGTTTGAGAGCAGTTAGTGTGTATGTTAGATAAAGGTGGTTTCAAAGCACCTTTATATATTACAAATAACAGCATGTTTAAACGCTTTTCGTTACAAACCAGCAGCCCGATGTCCGCAGAAGCTCAGCCGAGGGTGAGTGACTCTGCACGGGCAGCTGCAGGAAAGACCACCCGCTCAACAGGATTGGAGGCTTCTCCTACAGCAGCAGCTATGGAGAACAGCCCAACTGGTAAATAGACAGAATCAATTGAGATATGAGAGACACAAAACCATCTATCAGATTAATGTTAGCTGTTCTTTGACATTAGAGATGGAGTTTGTAGCTACTGATTGGCTAAATGTTTGACTGTTTATTTATTTAGTTTTTATCACATCAGATAAAAGTTGAATTGTATTAGAAAATAATGTTAATATATAATTTAAATTGTTTATATACAAATATATATACAGCACTAATGAGAGAGTACCTGTAATTTCTCTATACTTTTTAGTAACAATAAGAAAAATATTAAATAGCTCTGTTATGACTGTGAATATTTCAAGAGAGTTTAATGTATTTAAAGGCACACTGATTTGTGCAATTAGAATTTTATATTTAATGATTAATTCTATCTAATTGAACAATGTAGAATCTGCAGTGTCATTTTAATTTAATTATTAAATGTTTGTCCCTAAATACTGCTTGACTACCCAGAAAACCAAAAAGTATGGTTTATTGCTCTGTATTAATCACTCTTGTCATTTATTATACTTTCTGCACAATTCCCTCCCCAACAAAATCATCCCGAATCGATCTTAATGAATCAATTCTTTCTAAATAGAGCTATTCAAGTCATATGGTGAAATTGTATTCATATCACAAATATATTGCAGACAAATTGCAATGTCCGATTTTTCCAATATCCAGCAGCCCTATAGACCATTTCAATATGGGGATGTCATTGGCCCATGAACAATTCCTTCTTGTTGTCAAACTGTTTCATAACTGTAAAAAACAGGGAATTCAATCATACCTCAACATTAAAACAGCTCTCATAACATTATTTATCAATATGTGGACCTTTTTGGAGTCTCGGAAGCTTTGAAAATGAAAAAAGTAAAACAGGAAATATGTTAGGACCATTGTTAATGTTTACGTTCCTGAAAATGGTTTATATGCTTATTTAATAATTTTTTTAATTTTTATTTTCTTTGCTTCTTCTTTTTTGTAGATAAACAAGCAAAAAGGTGGAAGAAAGGGATCCGTGCATTCTTTCGGCGAATAGGGAAGGGGCTCAAGCGTTGCACCCTCTGTTGGCCTGGAGAGAACATGTTGATCCCATTTCCATGCAGCGATCCCAATGAACCCCAGCCAGAATTATCTGGCCTCCAATGGGCATTATCAATCGATCCGTGCCCATCAGGTATTGAGCTGCCAATTAGTGCCAATCCTGAGCCACCATCAATATCAGGTCCATCAACAGTTGAGTTGACATCTGACAGTGATCTGGAGCCATCACTTGTTCCAAGTCTACTCGAGATCGATTTAGAGGACCAAGATCTATCCAGTCTGTTATCCGAGTTAACAACGATGCCAGAACCAGATTGTCTTACATGGGTAAAACCTGTGTCAAGTCTGACACCTGATTCTGAGATTCCATCCATCTCGGCTCCATCTGCATCTGAGATCACACCTGTATCAGGTCCATCTGGCTGTGGGCCAAATAATGGTAAGTTTTCATCATTATTATACCACTGTCAGTGTATTAATTGCACTTTCCGTATTTATTACTCTGTTTAGAGTTTTATACATGCAGCATAGGGTTTAAAAAGATAGTTCACTCCAAAATGTACCAATTTGTTCCAAACATGTGTTTTTTCTTCTGTTGAACACTGAAAGAGGATATTTTGAAGAAAGATGAAAACCTGTAACCATTGACAAACATAATGGGAAAAACAAATACTATGGAAGTCAATGAGTACAGGTTTCACAGCTTTTACAAAATATCTTCTTTTGTGTTCATCAGGAGAAAGAAAATCAAACATGGAACAAGTAAAGGGTGCGAAAATGATGACAAACTTTTCTTTATTTGGATGAACTTTCTCTTTAACGATGGATCTTGCATTAGTTAGACAACTTCACCAGCTTACATTCCTTCTTCATGAAGTTTGTTCTCTGTATTTGATCAATGATTTATGTTTCTTTCTTTCGAAACGCAAACAAAAATAGAGACGGGAAAGTCCATCTGTGCATTCTTCAACCGGACATGGAAGTCTTTTAAGGATCGTGTCCTCCTCTGGCGACGGGGCAACAAAGTGGGCCTAGATCCAGTTGGCGTCCCAGTGTCTCCACAGTATTTGGAAGATCTCCTGCCAGCAGTCGGTGAGTCTACTGTCAATATTATTATGTACTGTCTAGTTGTATTACTTGACTTTTCCCCTAATCTGCTGTTTTATATCTGGCTAGTCTGTATTATTAATGTTCTTCATATTGCAATTAATTTCCTGTGTGTAGTTTTTTTAGTATTACTACATTTCATTAATGTAATATATAAATATAAATAGTGAAAAGTTGAATGAAGGGGTCTATAGCAAATAATATCAAGGTCACAAAAAAAGAAAAGGAACATTCATGTGTGAATTATTTTTAGATTTGCCTTTTATTCTGCTCAAATGTGGCATAAATTGTTTTTTAAATTCAGAGCTAAAGCATTATCTCATACAGATATTTAGCAAAGAATGAATATTACAGAGACAGTTAAACTTCAGTGTTTTATCCTGCCAGTTGTTTCACCTTTATGTATTTACTCAGTGTTTAGGTTTCTTTATTATGTCTAGTCTCAGTATATTCTAGTGGTAATTTCAATTTGTTTTGACAGAAACACAAAGAAAAAGGAGGAAGAAAAAGAAGGAAGATCTCCGTCCACGTTTAAGTGGAAACTTTTGGGCGTTAACTGAACCAGCTCCATCTGGTTTTGAGGTGACACTTAAACCTTATCCAGCCAGCCCTGAGCCAAAAACAGACCCATGTCCAGCCGGCCCAGAGCCAAAGACAGACCCATGTCCAGCCAGCCCTGAGCCAAAGACAGATCCATGTCCAGCCAGCCCTGAGCCAAAGACAGACACATGTCCAGCCAGCCCTGAGCCAAAGACAGAGCCATGTCCAGCCAGCCCTGAGCCAAAGACAGACACATGTCCAGCCAGCCCTGAGCCAAAGACAGAGCCATGTCCAGCCAGCCCTGAGCCAAAGACAGAGCCATGTCCAGCCAGCCCTGAGCCAAAGACAGAGCCATGTCCAGCCAGCCCTGAGCCAAAGACAGACCCATGTCCAGCCAGCCCTGAGCCAAAGACAGAGCCATGTCCAGCCAGCCCTGAGCCAAAGACAGAGCCATGTCCAGCCAGCCCTGAGCCAAAGACAGAGCCATGTCCAGCCAGCCCTGAGCCAAAGACAGAGCCATGTCCAGCCAGCCCTGAGCCAAAGACAGAGCCATGTCCAGCCAGCCCTGAGTCAAAGACAGACCCATGTCCAGCAAGCCCTGAGCCAAAGACAGACCCATGTCCAGCCAGCTCTGAGCCTGTGGTCTACCAGGGTCCAGTTGATATTTGTGCTGATTCATTCAGTTCACCTCTAGATCCAGGCCTATCCGATCTTGTTTTGGAGGCAGTATCTGAATTAGGATCATCCAGTCACGAAGTGAAGCCTGATCTGGAGCCATCATCTGCATCGGGTCCATCCAGTTGTAAGCTGACGCCTGGTCCAATTTATTCTTGGCCGGGTAAAGGTGAGTGATTTCTAATTATTGGTCTACTTTGACAACTTCCAGTATAGTAGGGGTGTGCAAGATAATGATGATGGTATTGATATATAGTTATAAATATGGTGTCACAAAATACCTTGCTTAAAACTTTTTCATAATTTAGTGCACAACAATACGAGGATGCAGACAGAAACATAAAATCTTGAACGTACAATGTTAAATTTTGCTTTTTATTCAGCGATATTTAAAAGAAAACTATGTAATATACCTGTAATCATTCGTTTTTGAAAGGGGTTTTATAATTTATAAACATTTATTTAATATTTCTATTTTTTTAATCGAAAATTTGCTCAAAATAAAGATTGAAATAAAGTGAAAAATATGATCACATATGAATTAGAAATTTCTGAGTATATATCTTAAATTGTACAAAATACATAATGCTTTCCATGTGGACGATATATATAAACAATATATATAAACTATTAATTTGTTGAATTTCTAGAAAAGGTAATATATCGTGATATTTATCATTATCAGGATATGAGGGGACTTTTATTGTGAAATTAGATCTCCTAGCCATACAGTAGTTTCTTTACGTAACATTTATTAAATGACGTAATTGATATTTATGCTTCTTGTTTAATTCCTTGTTCAGTTTTCAACATGATGTACATTATATTATTATACAAGATTATCATTGAAAGTAGCAACTAATGTGTTTTTTCTTGTTTCATCAGGATCATTTTACTCCTTTTATGATGTGGGAAAGATTCTGGGAAGTGGAGCCTATGGCACTGTGAAGTTGGCGAGACGCAGATTTGATGGCCAGAAGGTAAACTATCCTTACTTCCATTTGTTTCTCTTAGTTTTTTCTAGTCTTTTCATCTGTTCTTTTTGTGTGAAATGTAACATATAAATAATTGCAGAACCACTTTTAAAACTGTTTTTCTCCCTGCAGGTTGCTGTCAAATTTCTTAAAAAGAACACATGGGACAAGTTTATCAATGTGGTGAGTTGACAAGACCTATCTCAATACAGACATTTACATTTGTGACCCTGGACCACAAGACCAGCCACAAGTGTCATTTATACATGATCTGAAAAGCTGCATAAATACACTTTCCATTGATGTGTGGTTTTTTAGAATAGAGCAATATTTGGCAGAGATACAACTGTTTGACAATCTGGAATCTGAGGGTTAAAAAAAAAATCACAATACTGAGAAAAATGCCTTTAAATGGTGTCCAAATTATGATCTTAGCAAAGGATATTACTAATCAGAAATTAGGTTTTGATATATTTACCGTAGAAAGTTCACAAAATGTCTTAGAATTTGACATATATTATAATATTAGATTTTTGACATAAAAGAAATCAATAATTTTGACCTTATTCTTCATGTACGAGCAGGCGCTGCCATTGAAATCTTTTTGGCTTAAGACTTCCAGTTTCATTCACTTCCGTTGATGTTTAGATGTTAATGCAGCCTGTTGATCAATTCTGATCTTAGCAAAGCATATTACTAATCAGAAATTAAATTTTGATATATTTACAGATATGTTTATGTCTTAGAATATTACACATATTAGCTATTATGATATTAGTTTTTAGTTTAATTTTGACCTTATTCTTTATTTACGAGCGGGTGCAGACTTTAAATTCTTTTTGACTCGATTCTCATTTACATTGTTTAGATGTTAAATGCAGCGCGTTAATGTTGCAAACTATTTTCTTCTTACATTCTTATGTATAGTCAAAAAAACACTTGTTTGTAGAGCCCTGTCCTCGCCTCATTGCACTGGCTACCTATAAAATACAGAGTTGATTTTAAAATTCTTCTTTTCACTTATAAAGCTTTGCACAATTCTGCCCCAGCCTATGTCAGCGAGCTTATTAGGCCATATGCAGCTTGTAGACCGTTAAGATCCCATGACCAGTGTCTTTTGTCTGTCCCTCGGTCTCGCTGCAAATCAAAAGGTGATAGAGCGTTCTGTGTTGCGGACCCAAGGCTCTGGAACAGTCTCCCTCTAAACATCAGAATCTCTCCTTCATTAGATGCTTTTAAATCTAACTTAAAGACTTATTTTTGCCTTTGAGTGACGCATGCATGTTATTTTTTATTATTTGTATTGTAGTATTACTTTTAAACATATTTCTTTGTATTTTTAATACCATTTTTGTTTTATTGTCTAGTTTATTTTATTGTAAAGCACTTTGGATCAACTACGGTTGTGTAAAATTGTGCTCTATGCATAACGTTTGCCTTGCCAAGTAGTTTGACTGTTTATCATTCCTGGTCATTTCTCTCATAGGCAACCGTTTAGGAAGCTCTAAAACAATGGCAAAAGCAAACACACTTCCGAATTGCAGAATAAGGTCAATATCTGTGCAGCATAAGACAGTTTTTTTGCTCCAGGGTCATATTTAAAGCACATTTGAACATGAAACATCGAAGCTAACCTTTTCTCAAATGACATTTTCCAGCCTGGATGTGCCAAACCTTTGGTTGCGGAAGTGGCAGTGAATCTGCTGCTGCGCAAATCCCAAAGCCCCCACATCGTACAAATGATCGATTGGTATGAGGAGCCAGAGAAGTACATCCTCATCATGGAATATCCAGATCCATGTGAGACCTTGGAAATGTTCATCAGTGGCAAAGGAGGATCACTAGGAGAAACTGTGGCTCGTGGCTTATTTCGCCAAGTGGTGCTCGCAGCCAAACACTGCGCTGACCAGAGCATCTTCCACAAAGACATCAAATCAGACAACATCCTGATCAACACGGACACGCTGCAGCTCAAATTGATTGACTTTGGCTGTAGTGAGCTTATTATGAACCCTACCTCTATAAGTGAGTTGAGTGTGTCTATTATGCATTATAAAATGTCATAGTTGGGGTTGGATTGGTCCCCAACAGTGGGCTGATATGCATGCAAGCTTAAAAACACTGTCTTGCTTTAATTTCAGATCATGAATGGGCCATGAAAGAAGCCATTTGCAGCTTGCGAAATCTGCTTATAGAAATGGTGAGCGGAGGCCAGCATTTTATGTCATTTCTGACCAGAAAAGATGATCAGTTGATTCCAGGATATTCCAAAGGTGAGACAACAGCACACAATGACATTAGCCCCTTTCACACAGTGATACCGGTAAATATCTGGAAAATTTCCGGACCGACTTTACCGGTATATTCAAAAAAACGCTGTTCACACAGGCGAGGACGTTACGGAATTTTTCCGGAAAAGAGCATTCACACATCCATCGCAAAATGCCGGTAAATTCTGACATCATTAACCAGAAATGAGCTGTAAACGGCTGCGCTTGTGTTTGTAAACATTTGACTACATCACAAACTCTTCGGATGGATCAGTATTGAGTACAACTCCAATGAAAACATATAGAGGAACACTTTTGCATGTCGAGATGTTCATGATATGTGTGTGCTGGCGCTATGGGCGCTCAAAGCTTAAAGGTAAACAAACAACGGATTATCATAAACATTTTATCGATGATTATTTACACAATTAAGAAGGAACATAGAAACATTATCTGACTAACATCTAGCAGCTAAACGTGTGTGGAAAAATATTCAAAGGCTTTTATTCTCATAAACCGCGCGCACGTGAATGCGTCTGACAGTTCTGATTGGCTAAAGCAGGTGTTTCACGTCAGCACGTTCTAGACGTGCACGCGCTCTTTCCGGCAATCTTCCTTCTGCATTCACACAGCGCAGCATTCCGGCAAATTACCGGTAATGTTACAACTTCTCTTTTCGGAAAATAGCCAGAACGAATTTACCGGTATTTTCAAAAAGGGCCTGTTCACAAATACAACCTTTCCGGAAAATTGCCGGTAATTTTCCGGAAAGGTCTGTATGTGTGAAAGGGGCTAATAACACCAGTAAACACACACATAACAGCTCTTGTAACAACATGTATAGGTTATAAAGAGCCTAATCGACTTTTCTTTTTGAAATCTTTCACAGAGTTTCAAGATCTGATAACTCAGTGCCATAAAAAAGATGACGGCGGAAGAGCAACGTTGGAGCAGATCTTGCAGCACCAATGGCTTCAGCAGGTTTGAAGGTATGAAGACACCCAAGGTGCAGGTAGGGGAACAGTTCCACATTTTGGATTCATTGTCTAGGAAGTTACTGGATGACTTAGAGAAGGAAATGAAAGCAGTCTAGAGACATAATAGAGTTGAATATGAGAGTGCATCTCCTCTTTTTGGGATACATAAGCCTAATTCATGGGGTCTCGGAAGAATCACATTTCAAAATGCAAACCCTGTAGATACAGCTGAATTTGGAGTAACTTGACTTACTAAAGGCTGATTTATACTTGTTAGTTCGCTTGAGTATGCTCAACGAATGTGACGTCACAGTGGTATTTGTGGAGGTTGGCTTTGGGTGCACGCGACTTGCTTTCGGCTGGTGGAGCGCATACAATTTTTTGAGACCCGAGCGAACAGTTTGCGTAGTGCTGCGATTCATTTGAGTTGAATATGAATCACCTTGAAGAGATTTTGTTACGCCTGTACAGACATCTGTATGACCCGTCCATGCGTGATCATAGGGTTAACCAGAGAAACCAAATGTGCTATAATTAGATATAAAATAAATAGACAACACGATGCTGAGCCGGCATCGCCGATCCTCCGCCCCGTCCCCGTCGCAAACCCGCTCGTGAAAAATACACACTTAGGCCACGATTACATTGATACATATTAATTTTAAAATGGCATTTTAGAACTAAATGATCCACATCCACACTGTTGTACTTAGAATTTCTGAACAGCCCTCCGTCCGCTGAAAACGCACATCACGTGACCACACACATAGCCACACACACTGTCATGCGCTTGTCTGAGCTCCAGAGAGCAGAACACGTTGGACAGTTTATCAAGGATGTACCGCTAGATCGCGTCTCACTATAGTTGTTAAACGGGGTATTTAATTAATCTTGTCTCTATCTAACGACTCTTCGGTCTTTTGAATCTATTAGGTAACGTGCCACATAGTCAGTAAACTGCTTCAATCTTTCGCTTTCACACTTGTACTTAGTAATTTTAGTGAAGACCTCAGATAATGTTGGTTGGTAGCTGTTGGTTGTGCACCTTTTTTACCAACCAAGCTTGTCGACGGCTTTATAACGAACAGATCACTCTGCTTATTCATGCCAGAGTCCTGCGGAAAAAGTGATTGACAGGTGGTAATTTGTGTGTAACTTATCATTGTTCATTTATGATTTGTTTATGGGTAAAACAAAGACCATGCGGATCAGGTAGTTGAAACATTAGGCTACAAATAATTCGTTATGAATGAATTAATTATTCATAAATAATTCATTCACCTCCGCCTATGACGACGATGCCATCTTCCATCACGATGTTTCACATTAGACATCGTTAGATGCCAAATTGGTCGACATCGACCAACCCTAATCTCCAGTAAAGCACAAAAAAGTCTCTAGATTTGTCACTAGTGGCTTTTTTGAAAATTTGTCGCTAAGGGGGTCTGAAAAGTTGCTAAATTTAGTGACAAAGTCGCTAAGTTGGCAACAATGGTTTCTCCGTCTGATTTTACGGTAGGTTTCTTTTGACCGCCCCTGTTGTTTTAAAAAAATATCTCAATGGAACACATATAACACATATAAAAGTCATGTCCGTTTCGCGAGTTGCGAGCGCACTAAGTGGAGGTTCACGACGGGGCGCCAGGCGAAAGTATAAATCAGCCATAGGAAACATTAAAAAATGTTTTTTTAGGACACGACTGGCCATGAGACCTACAATAGATCAAGTAATAAATTTCAATTTATTTTCATTTAATTTTAATCTCCTCACCAAGTATTACTATCGAGCAGTATTTCTCAACCCCAGTCCTCGCAAACCCCTGCCCGCTTGTTGCTATAATGGATACATCTGCCACAGGAAGTTAACCAGAATTATTTATAGAAATTAAACATTCATTGTATTGTATTAACATCTACCCCCACCCTGAAACTAAACACAATCCTCCCAGTAATGTACAAACTGAGTTATTCATATTATGTATTAAATTACACATTCAATTGTATTTTGTTAACACCCTAAACCCAACCCTCACTGTAGTGTAAAAATATTCATTATTGTTGTGCTGTGTTGCAAAAACGATGCTATATTGATGTGAGTATCTACAGCTGTATCCCTTCTAGCCTCCCTCTCCATCGTTCTGCACATTTCGTTCATTCAAATGGCATTTTAGTGTGTGATATGTTAATGTAAACGTTGCATCACACCACATCTGTGACAATATGACATTCTGACATTTCAACTTCGAGATGGGTAAGTATAACTTCATTTACTACATTTCTTTTTGTTGATAATTTTGTAAGTTACTCAATGAAAAGAAACTTTGCTATGTCGAAGTAGTTCATCCAAAAATGATTTAATCTCAAATGGTTCCAAACCTTTAAGTATTAGTTTCTTTAACGTGTCGAACGCTGATGAAGGTATTCTGAAGACATCTGAAAACCTGTTGACTTTCATAGTAGGAGAAAAAAATACTGTGGAAGTTAAATGGCTACAGGTTTCCAGCATTGATCAAAAAATGTTTGTGTCTACGGACGAAAAAAAAGGCAAAGAGGTTAAGAACACGTGGAGGTATCTCAGTGGAGGGTAAGTGGAATCATCACTTAAAGTATGCTATTGTGTTCTTTATTCATTCATTTATTGTGTTCTTTATTCATTCATTTATTGTGTTTTTTATTCATTCATTTATTGTGTTATTTATTTATTCATTTATTGTGTTATTTATTCATTCATTTATTGTGTTATTTATTTATTCATTTATTGTGTTATTTATTTATTCATTTATTGTGTTTTTTATTTATTCATTTATTGTGTTATTTATTTATTCATTTATTGTGTTTTTTATTCATTCATTTATTGTGTTATTTATTTATTCATTTATTGTGTTATTTATTTATTCATTTATTGTGTTTTTTTATTCATTCATTTATTGTGTTATTTATTTATTCATTTATTGTGTTTTTTATTCATTCATTTATTGTGTTATTTATTTATTCATTTATTGTGTTATTTATTTATTCATTTATTGTGTTTTTTATTCATTCATTTATTGTGTTATTTATTTATTCATTTATTGTGTTATTTATTTATTCATTTATTGTGTTTTTTTATTCATTCATTTATTGTGTTATTTATTTATTCATTTATTGTGTTTTTTATTCATTCATTTATTGTGTTATTTATTTATTCATTTATTGTGTTATTTATTTATTCATTTATTGTGTTATTTATTTATTCATTTATTGTGTTTTTTATTCATTCATTTATTGTGTTATTTATTTATTCATTTATTGTGTTTTTTATTCATTCATTTATTGTGTTATTTATTTATTCATTTATTGTGTTATTTATTTATTCATTTATTGTGTTATTTATTCATTCATTTATTGTGTTATTTATTTATTCATTTATTGTGTTATTTATTTATTCATTTATTGTGTTTTTTATTCATTCATTTATTGTGTTATTTATTTATTCATTTATTGTGTTATTTATTCATTCATTTATTGTGTTTTTTATTTATTCATTTATTGTGTTATTTATTTATTCATTTATTGTGTTATTTATTTATTCATTTATTTATTCAGAACAATCGCCTTCCACTATCATATGACGTAGAACAGAGTGTCTAAAGCACACATCTCCTGCAGTCTAGGAGTGTGTCTAGTCCATATTGGAGACAGATGTGATGGGGTCTTTGCTGGCTCACCCATAGAACAGGCATCGGATGGAAAAAAGTTGAAGGTTCCAGATGATCAGCAGATACAGTTTCAGGAGCAGAGCATCTTGGGAACGCAGCAGATGCAGCTTTACCCTGGTCGGGATCGAGTGAACACAACAATGCAGCAAGTGTGGTGGAAAATAGCCTCGGCTGTTTATCATCTCACTGGAGGATCCTGCAGATTAGGATCAACATACATTGTGACTAAATAAAGATTTTTTATATGTACAGTTGTAGTCAAAATCATTATTCTTTCAGTAAAATTTTGAAGGGAGTTCAATGGTAAAATGCATGCCAGAGTACTTTCCGATTCATTTCGCATTACATATAAGCCGAAGGAGAGTGAGTGACTAATCGCAGGATTGCTACAAGTTAACTTGGGATTAGTCACAAATGATTCATCTGATCTCAGTGTACCTTAGCTTAATACAGTGTTGCATTTTGAAACTGCAAACAACAAGATCAGATATTGAAATGTAAGAAATTAAAAGCTGAAACATATTCTAGTGTTTTATATAGATGCACCAAAATGAAAATTCTTGAAGTGCTTCATTATAATCTCAACACAGGCTCATCCTGAAAACAGAGCCTTATAAAAGTTTCTGGAGATCACGATTTATGTAACCAGAGCTATGTATGGCTGCATTTCGTCTTTAAAACGAATGCTACTGTAACCCAGCCAGTCCTGTGCCACCCAACCCACTCCGAGCTGGTATCCCAGCAAACAAATTTCGGTTGTAAGAACGTTCTCATAACGTTATGTGTAACGTTCCAAGAATGTTAAAATGTCCAGTTTGCTTAATGTTGCTGGAACGTTTTTATGGTTAGAGTAACGTTGTTACAACGTTTTTAAAACCACAATTTCCACCAAAATATAACGTTCTAATAACGTTTATTTGGAACGTTACAAGAACGTTAACAACGTTATGAGACCCTTCTAAAAACGTTCTATTGATAACGTTTTATGCAAACATTTCCACAACTTTGAAAGAACGTTAGTGAATGTTCTGGGAACATTCCCTGTTAGCTGGGATTGAACCGGCGACCTTTCGCATGGGAGTCGGGTGCTCTACCAAGGAGGCTAAAGACCATGGCCTCTGGCGTCTGTCGCTAGAGCACCTTTAGAGGTCAGAGGAGTGAGGTTTACCTGCACAGCACTCACTAGCTGGCCTCCGTTACACTACGGGGCGGTATGATGCCGTTCCTTTTCTCGCTTACCCGTTGACCGATTACCTGCATATGGACGGCTTTTCCGTTGCTACTAGTTTGTCCGGTAGCTCGACACATACGTCGGCGGACTCGAGATGCAGAGCGGAGTTGACCACAATGATGAGGTCCGGTTAAGAACGCTTCCAGAAAAGAAATGAAACAAAAACAGAAGCCAACAAATAAAATAAACAAGTAAATAACAGGGTGAGAATGTGGTAAAATCTGAAAACGTGGTGAAAATCAGGCGAGGGCTTTTCTTTTTCTGGATTGCTTTTCAAAACACTATGGTTGGGTTTAGGGAAGTGGGTGGGCAGGTCAATCAATGCTTTTGAAAACACTATTAGTTGGGTTTAGGGAAGGAGGAGGGTGGGGGGATTGGTTGACAGTGTCGTCTGGTGCATTTACGCGAGAAGAGCAGGCATGAATGGCACTCGCACTACACAGCAACCTCTGGTGGACTCGCCCAAATAAAAACAGCAAAAAACGTAGCTTTTAAGAGTGGGTAAGTGGGAATGTGGTGCTTTATCCAGGATGATTCTGATTGGGAAATGGTGATCAGGTGTGTATGAACTCACAACTGATGATTGATATATGCTGTTTAAAATATGTAAATTACTTTGGTCATTTTTGTGGCTATTAAGCTAAATAAAGCAAACTTGTAACTTAAAAAGTAGGACTTGATGCAACAGAGAAAAACAGAAGCTATAATTATAACTGCTATGCAAATTATTACTTCAGCAATTGAAATGTTTTTTTTTGTTTGTTTGTTTGTTTGTTTTTTTAATACACACACACACATACATAATGGTCGGTGTTGTGTCAAAGCTATATGAACCATGTTGTGTGAGGGAAGACTTTCAAGTCTTCATCATATTGGCAGAAGCCAATCATACGCGTTTAGAGCCGGAAAAAGAATTGATCCGCTCACCTCTCGAGTCCTCTATCGGGTCTGAGTCACTCGTTCCTCACGGGCCAATCATTCGCGTTTAGAGCTGGAAAAAGAATTGAACCGTTCATCTCTCGAGTCCTCGGGTTTGAGTCATTCTGTCACGTGATAAACGAACGATCATGGCTCCTATCGGCTTAGACTGTGCAGTGGTTAAGATTATATGTGACCCAGTGGCGCCCCCAGAAAATTTTCATAGGGGTGGCCAGAAGAGGCCACACCAAATCTTAGGGTGGCACACAAAAAATAATTAATTTAGTGTAATGTTATATTTTTATTTCTGGTAAATTAAATAATGTGATTTTAATTAATTTAATTAATTAGTCTTAAAATATCACAATTTATTCCTTGAAATAATTCAGCAAGTACATGTGCAAACCAAATAAAAATCAATATTTAGTTTAAAAACACTGCTCATATAAAGAAATAACTTTTCAGTTATTTTTCACATTTATTGTACAGCATACAGTATATGCCATGTCTAAAATTAATGGAGATTAATGAGTTAAATAATAAAACAAACGAATGAACAAAAGGCATTACTATATATACACACACACACACTCACTATACAGACCCTAATAATATAATTTATCTATATCCCTTTTTGAGCCACTTTATTAATGCGGCTTCTTCTATTGATGTACCTTAAGGTAAATATCATATAGCCATTAGTGTCTATTGAGAGAGTGTGTGTGTGCTGTCAACGACTATCAGGGAGGGCAGTTTGGTTGACACCCTGGGCGAACCACCCCATATACCCACCCTCCTTAAATACATTTATTTTTCAATAGATATAAAAATTTATTTATATTTATTCTAAATAAATACAATTTATATTAAGATTATTATACAATTATTATTCTAAAAAAATAACAGACATCAATCCTAAATGTTACTGGAAAACAATGTAACAGAGTGATATGCTAAGATCACTTAGGAAACACTTTGCATGAATATTAGTTATGACAATTCTATAGAATACAAAAATATGTGTTTTATAGTATTATCTGTGGTCTTAGACCCGAATTATGGCTGAGAATTAATGTTATGAAGTCTTACCTCCCTCGTTATCCCTCCTTTCTGCTTTATAGCCATGCTTAGTGAAAGTATCATCATCATCATATTATATAAACTTTAGTTTTGTCGACTTTCAAAACTCACTGCGTGCTGACACCTCTTCACAAAAGAATTACTCCGGTTTCACGGCGCATGAGCGGCGCGTTTTTTATCAGCGTGCATGTAAACAACCGGGATTCACACACACGAGTGCGTGAGGCGCACGGGAATGGTTTTCTGCGCGCATGCGTCAGTTTGCTTTCACCAGCGTTGTTTCTGTTGCACATAGAGAACGCGTGAAAAAGATGTGAACGAACGGCCCTTAATGTCTTTATTCTGGGATTGCCACTCTAAGTTAACTCACGTGCATAAAGTAAATGGTATCCCAATGCTTTTACTAGGGGATGTTTTTTGCTGCACCATCTCCGCGTGCCGCCCCCAGCAAGATACTTGCGACGCCGCCCTGGCATTTGGCATATTGCCCAAATCCGCTACTGGGGAAGAGAGGTGCAGTGAATCAGCTACCTTAGTGGCACAAACAATAACTGCATGTTATTTATTTATCTATAGAAACATCGAGAATTTACATAAGTACATTTAAGTTAATAATATCAATAGCAAAATCATATTGGGGTGGCCACAGGGGTGGCCAGAGTTTACCCAGGGGTGGCCGTGGCCACCCCTGGCCACCCCTTGGGGGCGCCCCTGATGTGACTGGCAGTGTAACGTGAATGAATCCCTTACATTTGAAGGCATGAAGAGGTGAGCTGAGCAAAGAGACAACAATACCTTCATAGACAAAAGAGCAGGTAAACATTGAATTATTATTTTCTCCTTCTTATATTCTACTTATTACTTATTTGTCGTGCAATCAACCTTTTGGGCTAGTTGTAGATGTGTTTGGAAGCAATTCGAAACATTTTAATAATATTTTGCCAAATTGAACCAAATGAACGAAATGGCTCGGAAAAAGATTCGTTCATCTTAATGAACGAGACTCAAAGATCCGAGTCAGTAAAATGATCCGAACTCCCCATCTCTAGTTAGCACACCCTAACAGCTAATGCTCATCACAATCAACTTTTCCCACGAGCAGAAAAGAGTATCATCATGTAGAAGGTGCTCAGTGTCACACACATAAAATTAAAGTCATGAAATAAACATTGTTTATCAACGTTAGATGTAACATAAATCTCTAATGTACATAACTGATGGGGAAACAACTAAAAAGATCCATATTAATGTCAACAAAATGCATAAAAAGTGTTGTGCCATGTAGGAAATTCTGGGAAAGTCAATTTACGGTTATTCGCCGTATATATTAAGGAAACATACCGTTAACCAGGTTACGGATTTTTACTGTAGCATTTTTACAGTTTTTTACCGTTGAAATCACGGCCATTTTTTACAGTGTACCACAAAAATGACCAGATGTGAGTAAAAAAAAAGAATTTCAGACAGTATTGCATCATAAATGTTCTTTGTTTTTATGAAAACACCCAGGTTGGCACGAAGACAGCATGATGCAAAACTTTAATTTAAAAAGTGATTTCAAGTATCTGTATGATTTTAAACACACAAACGTCTCATCCTTATAATCACAGAATAAAATAAACTACTTACAAGAGATCAAAATGCTTTAAATAGGACATTCAGTAAATTCAAATGTAACACACATTGCTTAAACTAAGTGATTCCTTAGTAACATTATGTGATCAAATCAAAGGCACAAATGGTGTAATCCGCATAATAGAACACTGGAACATAATCACATGTGAAAATAGGACTTGAGAAATCAGGAGCATGCAAGGAAGCATAAGCTATATTTCTACTTGATCATTAGAGAAATGATGGAAAAATCAAACTGTTTGTTATGTGAAGCAAGAAAATACTACAGTCGATCATATGATATCCGAAAATATTTTCAAGGATAAATCTGCCTGCCTAAGGGGTCTCTTAACTTATACTAGTGTAATCTCACATTCGTTTCTGTCGAATGAGCAGTGAAATGCTAAAGGCTAAGACTGCGAGGTGATCAAATACGTTTAAATGTCTTTTTTGGTGGTCTTTGAAACATTCTGGGAGGTGGTGGGGGACTCGGATTCAAAAACATCATCTTCCAGTCCTTCTTCGATTGGCTTCATAGTCGTGGATGTTTTCGTCAGAGGATTTTTCTCTGGAGCAAGAGAAAAACAATAAATGTCAAAAAACTAGTTATTAGCTGCATTTCCACTGTAACTTTGGTTATTGAATATCAGTGTTTCTCAACCATGTTCCTGGAGGACCACCAGCTTTGCACATTTTCCATACTTCTTAACTAAACACACCTGATTTAGATCATCCAACGCAACCTCATGGCAATTCGTAACTTTTTGATTTAGAGGCTACTTCGTTTGAATTCATACGGTATAATTCGTACCATTTAGTACGATTTGCTCATCCACCAATGACGTTTGGGTTTAGGGGTGGGGTTGGATGTCACGCCTCATTTTTAAAATCGTACAATTTACTATGACTGAACTCACGCATTATTCACTAAACTGATAAAACAGAAAATGTTAACGTTTTCTCGTGAGATCAGGCTCAATCATCAGGGCCCGGTTTTTCAAAAGGTTTAAATCGGATAAAATTGATCCTTATTTAGTAATCCTGTTTCTGCGATCCGTGATCATGTAATCCAGCTTACTTTTTGAGCCAGTTTTTCAAAGCAACATCAGATTGGATCGATCTGATCTGGATAGGAACTTTTCAGGATCACTAAATCTGGATAACCAGTGCTCTAACAGGATGGGAAATCACAATATAGAACTACAGATATGTAAAGAGCAACAAGTAGAATAGCCAGTGTGGGGTCAACATAACGTTATTTTTATTTGAAATGAAAACCCACACATTTAACAAAAAAACTAAAAACAAGAAAAAACCCACCCCCTCCTCTTCCAGCAGTTTGCTCATCTGAGATCTACAACACAAACACTGTACATTGAGGATATTTATAACAGGTTTAAATATTGATGTATTGAATTTAAAAAAAGACTTTGTCAAAACCTCCACAATAACTTCAGACTTCCTCATCTGATGTGGAGAGACCAGATTGTCTGAGCGTAGCCTTTAAGAGGCGGATCTCAAGTCTGGTCTTGGTTTGCTGCAGTTTAGTCAGAGTCAGTTGTTCCTCTGCCAGATGAAGCTGTGCTTCTGCCCTTTCAGTCTCTTTTTGCAATTGTGGAAAGTGATTTCAAAAATCAGACAATGCCATTTTTCTTTTGTTTATTCTGTAATCATTACATGCATCACTTATAAATAATCTGAAAAGAAAAATATTTTCCATTGTGATGAGTATATATATATATATATATATATATATATATATATATATATATATATATATATATATATATATATATATATATATATATATATATATATATATATATATATATATATATATATATATATATATATATATATATATATATATATATATATATATATATATATATATATATATATATATATATATATAATTAGTTACGGAATAAAATGTATTGTTTTTGGTCTATTTTGACAGCTGTTTGGGGCATTATTTTATGAGGCCAAACTCTTTCTACTTTGCTGTAGGCCTATACTGAAAGGTTGAATACATTAAAGCCTACCTAATCACTGTAACCTGACAGATGTACTAATACAATTAAAACCTTATGAATAAATAGGATATCTTGTAAGAGACTGCATGATCCAAATATAGTATTATTTGATACTTTAAGTTTTCATTACATTTTGGGCATGAAATCCATGCTGAATACACCTTTCTGATGGGATCAGTTTAATCCAAAGTTTTTTGGATCAAAGTGATCCAAATCCTATACAAAAAAAGGTCTGAAAAACCCAAACTAAAGTTTTGATCTGGATCAAAACCAAAATTGGATTACATGATCTAATCCGATTATGTAAGTGTTATGTATTTGTGTTTTTTGTGCTCTGTTTCTCTGTTTTTTTTCCCTCTCTCTCTCTCTCTCTCTCTCTCTCTCTCTCTCTCTCTCTCTCTCGCTCTGTTCTCCCATATCTGCTCTCATGTATTCTCAGGTTCCGTTCATTGGTCCATTCAGCTGTCAGTCATTCCTCCCCGGTTACGTCACTCTTACGTCACATCCAATAAGAAAAGACCACCCGTGTTAAAAGCGCGCGCCAGACCACTCGCCTTCTCTTGCTTGCATTTTTCTCTTTCGCTGTTTTGTCGCTTGCTTGTATTTACCGCGTGCGTTTTGAAATAACCCGTCTAACTGTGTATTTTGTTGTTGCTCGTTCTGTGTGCACGGTATCTGTCCGTTATTCGTACATTGTTCTTAGTTTATCGTTGTTTACGAGGCTTGGACGAAGCGGACAGGTAAGAAGGTCACGTGACACATTTCGCAACACATAGGACTACTCTGCTGTCTAGTACACTAGGTTAGGGGCGAGCGCCACTCCTTGCACTTTTTGGATAGATAGATGGAGTAGATAGCTAGGACTCGGAAGATCTTCGTGTGTTAATTATACTGTTTTTCACATAGTTAGTTAGCTAGATGCTTCTGGGAAGTTAGATTTTGTTTGGGTTTTGTTCTTTTCATTTATTTAGCGCCGCCCGCGTCCCTTCTGGCAGCTCTCTTGTTTTTCCCGTCCTTATTTGTTTCAGTGTTGTATATATTGTAAATAGTATATTTTTGCCTTGCTTACTTTTTCTTTATTTTTGATTAATTCGTTGTTGTTGTTCACTTTGGGATTGTAAATAAAAGCACACATTTTTTTTCAAGATTTTATCCAATCCCTCATCCAAAATCCAAGTGGATTACTTTTGAAAAACCGGGCCCAGCTCATTAGCTGAGACTGAAAGACCTGTAATGGTGTTACAGACAAAGGAGACATCCAAAACATGCAGTGTTGGTGCTCCTCCAGTAACGTGTTTGATATATACATGTATATAACTATACAAACTTGAGATCACTAAATTATCAAAACGATGGTTTAAATTTGTCAGTATCAAATATGATGCAAGTCTTTTGAGGAATTTTTCCGTTAGCATCATATTTCAATGCATTACAAAATGTGTTTTGCTCCTCACAACTAATATACATGCATGTTTGTATGCTGACATGTACAGCGGGGAAAATAAGTATTGAACACGTCATGTTTTTTCAGGCTCTCTTTCAGACTAAACTGTTTCAGGAATTTCAATACAAAAGGAAAAATGGCTTTTTTTTGTTTTTGTTACATTAATATTGGACCATAGATATATACATTAGATGTCGCCTACCCTGTTGTTGACCCTATTGGAAGGAATCCGTCAATAGAGCCGCCATTTTGGAACATGGTAGCACTTCTTTGAAATGAATGCAGGACCAAGGTACAGTGGAGGAATGTGGCCATAAAAAGCCAAAGAAATATACACATATATTTATGATCGGGAGTTTTCCTGGATGTTAGCATGCAATTTTTTATTTTGATTTTATCACTTTTCTACATTGATGGATCAGTGATGGCACTGGCATTCCTGACAAAAAGCTTGTGTTTGTGTGTATGGAAATGTACTATCCACCCTCCCTGTTAAATTTGATCTAATCCGTGTCCTGAAACACACCTCCTCTCCTGCTTTCACTTCTCATACTGACGAAGGGAGCGATTCGTTTGTGAATGAATCTCCGTTATGAACGACTCGTTCACTAGCTGACAATATTTTCTGGCAGCGCAGCATCTCGTTGTCATATTTCTTTTGCATTGTTTGCTGATTTTATTCAACAAAACTAGCATAAGCCGAGTATTTAGTGCGAGTTGGTGCTGCTTTGCCTTATGGTGAATGCAGTAAGAGACTGTATTATCATCAATAACGTTACCTGTTTAGCACAAAAGTTCAGAACATACAAAAATGTAAAAAACTTAATCTTACCTATGTAATGTTCTGCCTTTTTGTTTTGTTTTCTTTGTTTGCTTGTTACTACACCCGTAGACAGCGCTTAAGTCCTGCATCTACACGTAATAACACTATCTTGACTAGTGCGGTTGAATGACATATGTCCTGGTAGCACTGTACAAATATGCGATATTTAGTGTATATATCTATGATATTGTATTACAGTTTTTCTTGTTAACTTTGACCTGGTTAACTAAACTAGGTTCCGCTTCATTTTCATTATCACTATCCCAGCAGAGCAGAAGACCGGTCTTGCAAATGTGTAAACTCTTTCTCATTGGGTTGACAGATTTTCCCAACCATTTTTCAAAACAGTTAACACAGATATTATTCAAGCAGTCCAAACTCCATTGTTTTAGTTTTGGTATCCAAACAGAATCCATCTATTCCTAACTATTAAAAACTACCAACATCAGTATGAAATCACTGAAGCACCGGTTTGACACTCCTTCACACAAATCTGCAATTAGCAATCAGTCTGCAAACCTTAAAATGGTGGAAGGTCTGTGTTGTTCTGTACCAGCATGGATGGAGGAGCTCAATAGTGACTATACTCCCTATACTCCCAATAGATTTGACTGTATATTGGTTTAAATGTGTTTTCTCTAATATTTACAGTATTTTATTACATTTTTCAGATTTTTTTTACAGTATTGAATTTTTTTTAGCCACAGTTTAAAAAATGTCATAAATTCAATATAAATTTAATCAAAGCATTTCTTACTCTTGGTTTAATTCTTTGCAAAATGGCAAATTTGACAGCCCAAATAGAAAGACAACAAACGGCATTAGCAATAGGCTACAATGGCAAGCAATGGTGCACTGATTCACAGTGGGTTGTGTATTTTGTTGTCCATTGTCTAATGATTAATTGAAAGAGCTCATATACTTGTTTGCAAGTTGTGTTGTTTGAAGGTAAAACTAGCTTTTGTTGCATATTTTAAATGTTTTGACACGGAATGTGTGTTTTGCAAGCAAAATGTGTCATTTTGACCATGAGTGCTGCTGTTTAGGCCTGTGTGTTAACTGTTTTGAAAATGTAAAGTTTCAGTCGACGGCTGCATCAAAGCAATCAAGAAAAACTGTAATATCCCTTTACAGCCATATCCCGTACAGTTTTGCTGTCTGAGTGGTGGTCATTTCGAACTAAAATAGTCCTGTGGTCCACTAAAGTGGACATGCAGTAAAATTAAAAACAAAACAAAATGTGAAAACTCTAAATTGTAAAAATCTTTAACCCAAAGGATGTAAGAAATCACAGAATTATTATTATTATTTTGGTCTCAGGAGGATATGAAAGTCTTTTTTGGTGATGGCAGCCTTAAATACGCTTCTTATTAGGAGAATGAAGTCACATGCATTGCTCGGGTGTGAGTTTTAAAAGTGTAAAAGTCTTGATGGTTCTGTGGCTCTCATCTATCAAATCTGAGCTTCATTTAGTATGTTCTATTGTTTTCAAGTCAGGTTATTGGCTGGGCCATTCTACAGCTTGATTTTCAGCTAGGAAAATTAGGAAATTAGTTAGGAAACAAATTGAATGAAGTGCTGATTTAAATTGGGAGTGCAAAGAGAAACAAAATACAGATGTAAAATACATATACTGTGTAGTGCTTGTTATATACAGACACGGTGAAACTTGTATGACAATATGCTTCATGGCATGATGTTATGGGAAAACTCAACCAAATGCAATTCTGGTATGTTAAAGGTTAACGTCATAGCAGGTCTGGTTAACAGAAGTCACTTCTTCTGAGGACTAGAAGGGAGTTAATCTACTTTTTTGGGGTTGAGAAATAGAAAGACAGTGAGGAAAAAGAAAACTATCTTACACCCCATCAGGCCCGATCTGAGGTCACAGCTAGAGGAGGAACAGGAGGAGACAACATCAGGGATACGCTGACACTCCGTATTAATAGTTTTGAAATCACACTAGTGTGTTGTGCAAAATCACAAACTTAGTGTCTATTAGTGTCTACTTGCACTGGAACAGATGGAGTTTAAAGTGGAGAATGCATTAAATAAAGCTTAGGAAAGACAACGAATGGTGGAGCCAACTCATGTGTCCTAGTTTATACCAGCATTTGTGGGCATGAAGGGTGTAATATCAGGCCAACTGGGTAAACTGAGGTTAGTGCTTGAAACGCAGCTTAGCATTGGCAGATTAGTTGCAGACAGTGGCTCAAGGCAAGGTGAATATACTTACGAAGTGATGAGCCAGTTGATCCACCTCTCAGGATCTGATTGAGCACGTCGTCAGTGTCACTGGTGCTCGCCATGCTGTTCCTCATCTGCATCATAGACAGCTGGGAACACAGACTCGGCTGGCGGTCCATTTTCTTTACAGCCTGCAGATCAATCATCAACACTTATTAGAGGGTCTTAACCAAGGCTCATTGGAGATACGTGCCCAGGGCTACATTTTAAGGAACCATGAAGTACATGAACAAGGCAACGTCCACTAGAGGGCATTTTTAACAATCTCAAATAAGCTACTGGACCATGTTTGCTCTTCATACATGCCATTTTCACGTCCTTCTCACACATATATCACAAGCATATATCAACTTGCCTACTGACTGGCCCAAACACCCACACATAGTGTTTTTAAAAACAACTTGCCTCTAAAATTGTTCCTCACTGGATTCGAGCCCTAGTCTGCTCTGTGTCCCAGGTACAACACCATACAAGGTGAGCTACAGAGCAAACTGATCTCACTGGAAAAGCCGTTCATATGGAGGTAAGTGGTCAAGGGTAGAGTGATAAAGAATAGAAGCTGTCAGCGATGTGAAAAAGCACGAAATGCAGTCGGGTGACTATTTTCCGTTTTTTTAGTCATCAAAATGGTCAACCACCAATTTATACGGGGACATGTTCTAGCTCTTAAAGGTGCATTACAGTTTGGTACAGTTTCTGGAGATTTTACAGATCTGGAGTGTTCACAAACCATGGTCCACTTTGCGTCTCAAATCCGGCGTTGATCTTGCCGGAAAAGTCTTCTATATGGATGAAAGCGGTCAATGATAGACCAAAAAGGAATAGAAGTTGTCAGTGATGTAAGAATGACTGATTTATAGCGTTCGTTTAACACACAAAATGCAGCCGGATGTATACCAGAGCACGTATTTTTGTGGTTTCCCAAATATATAGCCCTGGGCACATACCTCTAATGAGCCTAGGTTGTTATAATCACTACCACATCAAATAAGTTGTAAAAACTACTAATGTTATAAACAAATCATCAGCAAACAATATATCATATTTAATGAATATTTTTCATTTTTAGTCATCAAAATGGTCAATGACCAATTTATATGGGAACATGTTCTAGCTCTAAATGATAAGCAACATTTTGGTAAATTTTTTCTAAATTTTACAGACCAGAGCATCCTCAAATAGTGTTCATTTTACACACAAAATGCAGCTGGATGTATACCAGAGCACGTATTTTTGTGGTTTCCCAAATATGTAGCCCTGGGCACGTATCCCCAATGCGCCAAGGTTGTTATAAGTACTACCACATCAAGTATGATGTAAAAACCAATAATGTTATAAACACATCATCAGCAAACAATATATCATATTTAATTACTACTATTTTCCTTTTTTTAGTCATCAAAATGGTCAACCACTAATTTATATGGGGACATGATCTAGTTCTTAAAGATACACAACATTTTGGTACAGTTTCTGGAGATTTTACAGACCTGAGTGTCCTCAAACCACAGTCCACTCAGTGTCCCGAATCCAACGTACAAGGCAAGCAAACTGATCAATGTAATAATTACTAACACTCAAGTGATTTGTTTTTCTTCTTCAAATATTTCCCAAATGATGTTTGACAGAGCAGGGATTTTTTCACAGTATTTCCTATAATATTTTTCCTTCTGGAGAAAGTCTGATTTGTTTTATTTTGGCTAGAATGAAAGCAGTTTACATTTTCTAAAAAACATTTTAGGGTCAATATTATTCGCCTTGTTAAGCAATGTTTTTTTACAATACAATGATTTGCCAAATTACACTATTTTGCCTAACCTAATTAAGACTTTAAATGTCACTTTAAAGGTTCACTAATCCCTTGAGTACTTTTTTAAAGATTTTAACAGATTTGTGTGTGTTGAGCATGAGTTAAGACAATATTAGCACCTGTCAGCTTTTGTTTTCAGCTAATTTCAGCTTCCAGGTTTAAAATTATTTTTGGGACGAGATCAAAATCAGCGACGAAGTGCAAAACTGCAAGTGCAAAGATGACGCGTCACTTTCTCATTATTATTCATAGCAGAGTTTTCTCATCCAATGAGAAGAGCCGGCTTCTTCATTATTCATGACAGCATGTGCTTTCCGAAGACAAGGCAGACCTGCCAGTGCCAAGCTGTGAGACACGGACCCAGGGCACACAGTATTTAGCTGTTCATGAAGGGTCGTATGTGTTTGTTTCCATGATCCACGGGGTTTGTTGCATGTTTTTTTCCAGGGCCAATACAGCAAAGCATTTTGTGTGCAGCAAGCATTTTTGTCAGGAGAGCAGTACAAGAATTGGAGAATGGCGGATGTTGTCTTTTATCAGGAGTTCGTTCACATTTAGACACATCGTCGTGCTGCTGTGTTTGCCTTAATCCTCTAGAATACCAACAGGGCTAATGGTTAAAATAGACAGGGCAAGAGACCTGCTGCACTGAGTCTGCATTCAGACCCGGGGATTGAGGGAAAAGTCCTCAATTATAGTGTTTATATGAACACAATTATCTTTATAATGATATAAATAGTGGTTATCTGTATATGAAATAATGAATAACAAAAGTAGCAGGGCATTACATTACTGTTTATTTCTTTGCATTTTAACTTTGTAAACTATAAAATCAAACGTCTGCTCACGGGTTGTGTCTCATTTTGTAAGCCGACTGACAACAGTTGTTCGCTCCCCTCCTTCTCCCCTGCTGGCCACGCCCACTCCTGCCCTTTGCTTGAGGAGCTCCACGCCCGTTATCATGTATCTTTTGAAAAAATTCTGAGGTAGACTTGAAACGAAAGTGGGGGGTGTCATGACCCTTTAAGCTGAATACTAGTATCTTGAAAAATATCTAGTAAAATATTATTTACAGTTATCATGGCAAAGATAAAAGAAATCAGTTGTTAGATATTAGTAATGAATAAATATTTTCTAACCTTGTCACTGAGGGTTGGATCGTTGAGGGAGTAAAGCTTGTTGGTGATGTCTTTGCCAATGAGATACCTGAAGACCTCATTCAGAAAAGACTCTGACTCCAGGAAATAAGTCAGACGTTCTCTGGACCAGCACAACAGCTTGCAGTTCTCCTCAGCAGCGATCGTCACCTATATTTTACGTGACAGATAACTCATATATTTGTATACTCTTTCTATTAAATTATCAGACATTTCTGGAATATGTATTTCTTTTTTATTTGTGTGTAGGGAATCCATACTATTGTTAAATGCAAAAAAATTCACTTTTCATATTCACTTCTTTTTTTGATTTACAGATTTCATGCTGACTTATCCTATTTGGAATGAAGCACATACTTAATTCTGTAGCAAGTACAGGCACTTAATGTGATTAAAAGTATCCAATGCATAATAATTTTAATACAAAACCTTTAAACCCATTACCTGAAAGCGTTCACCCCTGTTCATCTGAGTTGACCTGAATTCTGGAGAGTCGATGAAGGCATTGGTGTAAATGTTATGCAAGAAATGACCCCGATACGATACCTTCATCCTGTGTCAAATGAATAAAATATGTCACAAATACACAAACAAATTGAAAGTATCTTTTATTATTGTCAGCACCATTTACATAAAAATAATCCTGATCACACAGATCTGTCAACATTATTTCAAACGCTCTATTATGGATAACAAACCAGTACAGAGAAACTACATGCATGCAGTCTGCCATTATTGTTTTGGTGTTCAAGTAAAATTGTTTATTGTTTGTTAAGTACTTAGTTCATGATAGTAAATGCATAATAAATAATTAAAATTTTAATATAAAAAACTGACATTATAACACGGCTGTCTGGATTTCTGATTGGTCTGTCAAGACATTCCAAGGTATGTTATTCCAGCAAAACAACCGCTAAATAACACAGGCACATACATACATATCTGTATCTGCTTGTCTGTCAGTTTTTGACTGTTCGGCGCCATCTTGCGACTAAAAAATGCGCAAGTTAAAAAGCCAACATAGGCTCATTCTGAAAACGTAGCCCTATATACGTTTCTGGAGATTACAAACTATGTAGACAGAAGTACGTAGGGCTGCATTTCATCTTTAAAATGAACACTATGGGACGGCATAATGCTGTTCATTTTCTCGCTTACAAGCTGACTGCTTTCCTCCGTATGGACACTAACCAATTTGTCTGGTAAGCAGGTAAGACATAAACAAAAGCCAAAAAAATTAAACAAGTAAATAACAGGGTGTGACTGTGGTAAAATCTGAAGACGTGGTAAAACTAGGCTGCTGTAAGGGCTTTTCTTTTTCTGGATTGCTTTTGAAAACACTGCAGCTATGTTTAGGGAAGGGGGTGGGCGCTGGTCAATTGATGTTTTTGAAAACACTATTGGTTGGGTTTAGGGAAGGGGTGGGTGGGGTGATCGGGTGATTGGTCAGTCAGTCAGTCAGTCAGTCAGTCAGTCAACGGTGGCCTCTGATAGATTTATATGAGAACATTAGGCAGGAATGGCACTTGCGCGAGAACTTTGAGATCTCAAAAAGCGCAAACAGCAGTCTCTGGTGGATTAGTGAAAACAACAATGGCAAAACATACGCACCTCCTGGGATGCATTTTGCTTTCTCCATTAATGTATATAGGATTACATAATCATAATGAGCCTGGGTTGAATACAGGCCTTCAGCCTTAAGCCTCATTCACATTACGAGCGACTCACACTACAAGCGACACACTTTAAGCAAATGAAGAGCAACTTTCTTGGGCGACAGCCAATAGGAGCACCGGTAGAGCTCGTGTGATCCTCTCTTAACTCCTGGAGAGCCCGGTTGTATTCTCCATGCTGTATAGACCTACACAGACCTGCGTTTGGAGCAGGTCACCACCCAGAGCAACACAGATAGAAAGTCGCAGCTAGTGTGAATGAGGCATTATACAACAGTGCTTCACTCAAGATAAGCCCATCGGCTTTATTCCAGCGATAACAACCTCCTGGATGTACTTTATCCCTAACTTAACACACACAGCTTTTCATTTAATAATACATTAGTAAATATTGAACTACTATTAATACATTCTGTACAAGATTGTTCATGCTTAGTTCATGTTAGTAAATAAATGCATTAACTAATGGACCATTATTTTACCTATTTTTTGGCACCCCCCTAAGCCCTCCCCCAGCACATGCAACAAAAAACCTGGAGCTGCCATTGGTTGTCAGATCCTTAAAATACCCTAGTTGTAATTAAACATCCAAAACACATGCACTTTAGTGACGCAAAGCACCTACTTTCCTTTGAGAAGAATGCTGAGGCGCTCGTCAACAGAGGTTTTGTCTTCTGCTGCATAAACCTGGCCTTTCTTTAATGTCTGGATAGTGCAAAACTGGCCAGTGAGTCTCTGAAACAGAGCCTCTCGCACATGCAGGGGCTCGAACATGCGCTTGTACACTGACTTGAGCTCCCTGTCAATCTTAATCTGGAATTAAACAGGAGAAACGTACATTGAATTCTGAGTTAAATTCAAAATTACAATATTTACAACTAGCCTGTACAGAAACTACAACTAAAGACATCAGCAATGAGAAAATCAGAACGAAAACTCTCTTCTCTCAAGATAAATCATAGCGTTTGACTTTGACCTGTATCTGATTGTACTCACCGGTCTGCGTTTATAAAGCAGGAAGAAGAAATGCATGAAGTTCACTAGAAGGAAAACCACATTCCACACCATAACATCCAGTGTGCATCTATATAACGTAGCCCACGCTATGAACAAAGAGCAGCCTGAAAGACAATAAAGAAACACATTTTAATGCGACTTATCAATTCCTCTTTATTTATGTAGCACTTTCTTTCTTTTTTTAACATAAATTGTGTCAAAGCAGCTTAAAGGGATTCCAGCAGGCACACAGACGTTAATATTAAATTTAGGTTGTCAGGTTACCAAAATTCAATGTCTGAGCAAGTTTAAGTCAGCTTCTCTTTCAAATCATTCACTTGTAGTAAACATCAAAAATGTAACTCGTGTTTCTTTTTGATTTTAATATAGATTTTGTACAAATTCCATTCAGAAAGACTTAAAGATGATTCCTTTCATCACTGTAAAAATTATTCAATGCAGATAATTTAGTTGGAATATAGTACAATGTCTCTTGATTATAAAAATTGCCACCCTCTCTAAAAAGTCTTATATTTCAACATTTTTTGCAATTGAAATCTTCAATACTAAGGGTGTCACGATCCTCCAAATCCTCGATTCGATTACATTTTCGATTCTAAAGGCACGATTCGATTCAATTTTCAATTATGAATAATTAATTAATTAATTATTTGTAGCCTACCGTTTAAACTACCTGACCTGCATGGTCTTTGTTTTACCCATAAACAAGTAATACAGTAAATGAATAAAGGCAAGATACACACATAATTACCACCTGTCAATCACTTTTTTCTGCGGGACTCGTGAATAGGCATTAATCTGTGTCGTTATAATGGCGTCGGTAAAAAAGACGCACAACCAACAGGAACCAGCCAACAGTATCTGAGGTGTTCGCTAAAATGACTAAGTACAAGTGAGTGAAAGATTGAAGCAGTCCTCTGACTGCCTGGACCTGCTGTCTCGAGCGCATGGCTGTGTGTGCGTCTGTGTCTGTGTTGTCACATGATGTGCATTTTTAGAGGTAGAGAGGAAGGAGGGCTGCTCAGAAATGCCAAACGTCACTGTGGATGTCAAATCGTTGTCGTTCTAAAATGCCATTTAAAAACAAAGACAGTGTAAACAAGGCCTGAGTGTGCACTTTTCGCGAGCAAATTTGCAACGGGGGAGGGCGGAGGATCGCGATGCCGGTGTTGTCTATCGGACGAACCGTACGTAATACGTACATAGCAGAGCTTGCAAAACTGTGTTTTTTTGTCGACTACACGAACGTTGTCAACATAACTCACTGGAAATCCAAAATGCTTACACACCGGCGACTTCATTGAAAGAGGAGAGGGTTTAAGCTCTGTCGACGGGTCTCCTGCGTCTGCCGTTTAACAAGCACTTCAACAAGCCTGTTTTTTTCCCGCTTGGCAAGCCAAGCTGATGTGACATGGGGGCATGGCAGCATCGACGATTCTATTTTTTGATTCGATAATCGAAATTGAGCATACATTTCGATCAATTTCGATTAAAAATCGAAATCGTGACACCCCTATTCAATACTCAATGTAAAATCACGATTTTCGAAAACTACAAAAATCTCTAGTTTTAGACATTTCTATAAATCTGTAGTAATTAATTTTTTTATTGCAATTGTACTCTTCAGTACACATTATAAAACATAATGTACATAATAAGAAAATACCATCAATATAATTCCATCATATATGTAATTACAAAGTTGTAACAATGTTATTGCATAGCAACTGTAAGGTAACATTAGATCCAATTAACATCATTTACATCAAAAAAAAAAACTTTATAATTACATATATACTGCGTATATTTACGTATAAATACAGAAATACTGAACATGAAACATTTTAGGATTTTAAATATTAAATTGGGTGTAATTACAATGCAATAGCAAAATACTGTACAAATACTTTACTTGAAATATACAAAGAAACATGATTATATATTATCTTGGATTTAAGTACAATGTAAAAGCATTGTAACGACATATTAATTACAGCGTAACGACACAATAATATGATAAAAGTTTGATAATAAGATAAAAGTTTGTAATTACATGTGCACTGTGTATATTTACATATAAAACTATCCAAATACTGTACATGCAACATAAAAAGAAATATTTACACTTATTAATATTATATTGGATGTAACTACAATGCAACGACATAGTAATTACAATGTAACGACATAGTAATTACATACAAGATAAGTTTAGAATTACATATTACATGTGCACTGTATGTATGTGTATAATTACAATTTACAAACACTGTAGATGAATTACACAAAAACACATTTACAATATCATGCAATTATATATAATGCATTTGCAATGTTAATACATAGCAATCGTAATGTAATGATAAAGTAATTACATCCCCAAAAAACTTTGTAATTACATATGTACTGCGTATATTTACTTATAAATACACAAATACTGTATAAGAAACATTTTAGGTTTATAAATATTATCCTGGGTGTAATCAGAATTTAATGATGAAGTTTGTAATTACATATGTACTGTGTATATTTACATATACAATTATAAATAACCAAATATTACATCCAAATTGTACATGCAAAATACAATGAAACATTTGCTTTTATGAATATTATCTTTGCTGTAACTACAATTTTATGGCATTAAGTAATTACAATGTAACAACGCACACAAGATAAAAGTTTGTAGTTTCATGTCTACTGTGTATATTTACATATAAATACACAATACTGTACTTGAAATATACAAAGAAACATGTTTATAAATATTATCTTGGATGTAATTATAATCTAATGGCAATGTAATTACAATGTAACGACACAGTAATTGCACTTAAGATAAGTTTGCATTTAAGATGAATACTTTGATGTTATTTTTAAAATTCCATATTCATAAATTTAATTTTTTTTAATTTCCCCAAAACTAGTGGTGTTCAAAGAAGAATTTGTGATGTATTTGAAGACATTAAGAGAGATGAATAGGCAAAAAGCAAGATATTTATATTCATCATTGGATGATTTTGGTTTCATATTTTAAGAAATTTTACTCCCCTGCTACTTAAGTTTCTTTAGCATTAACTTTTTGTTAATTTTTGTTATTTTCTTTATTTATATATGTTGTATCATTAACGAGAATGGAAAGATTGTGAATGTATGCAATTTGATTATCTCAGTCTTTTGTGTAAATCTAAAAAGTATTGATGCCTTTTCTGTTACTGTTCAAGCATTGGTAAAAAATAAATAAATAAATAATAATAATAATAATAATATATATATATATATATATATATATATATATATAGAATTATTAGCCCCCTTCAAATTTTTTCTTCTTTTTTAAATATTTTCCAAATGATGTTTAACAGACCAAGGAAATTTTCACAGTAAGTCTGATAATATTTTTTCTTCTGGAGAAAGTCTTATTTGTTTTATTTCGGCTAGAATAAAAGCAGTTTTTAATTTTTTAAACACAATTTTAGGGACAAAATTATTAGCCCCTTTAAGCTATATTTTTTCTCGATAATCTATAGAACAAACTACTGTTATACAATAACTTACCTAATAACCCTAACCTGCCTAGGTAACCTAATTAACCCAGTTAAGCCTTTAAATGTCACATTAAGCTGTATCGAAGTGTCTTGAAAAATATCTAGTAAAATATTATTTACAGTCATCATGGCAAAGATAAAATAAATCAGTTAATAGAGATGAGTTATTAAAACTATTATGTTTAGAAATGTGTTGAAAAAATCTCTCCGTTAAACAGAAATTGGGGAAAAAATAAACAAGCGGTCTAAAAATTCAGAGGGGCTAATAATTCTGACTTCAAATTTATATATACCCTATAAACACAAGCGGATCACCATCCCGTAGAGCACCAATAGATGGCGCTGTGTACCTGTCATCAGCAGCAGCCTGAGGAAGATCATATGAAGCGCTAATGTGGTGGGAATGAGGAAACCCAGCCCGAGACTCAGGTTGGCCAGGTGGAACAGCAGGTGATGAGACTGTTCCCAATCCTGGCATAGTGTGGCGTTTGGATCCAAGCTGACAGCTGGAACACTGGAGGGCAGCGCGGATGTTGTGTTGGACATTCTGAGGCGGTCAAGCTGTTTGGGAAATGGCCAGAGAGTTTGCTAGGACGGCCACAATCATAAACAAAGCAAAACAGAAGAGTTTTGTTATGATTCAAAGGTGTAGTCTTTATTAAGAGTGTATGTTTTAAACTATGATAGCAAACGTTTTAATATTTTATTAATTAAATAATAACTTTATAATGTTTTTCTTACTGCAGTACAGCCGTCAGTGTAGGTGTAAACGCGTCAATGTAAATAACGTAGTGGCGTGAAAATATAACGACCCTTACGAAAATTTACCGTTTTTTTTTTAAGTACAATTGTTGTAACCTTGTTTTTTACGTATTTACTTCTGTTTGTATTACTGCAGTATTACCATGATACAGATTAGTGTTGCAAAACCATGGCTAATTTGAGGCTAATATAGTAGACCATGGTAGCCACAAATTAACGAGTTTTTTTCAAATTCAACTATAGTTTTTACCAAGGTTACTATTGTAAAAACTGAGGTTACACAAATGGAAGTCAGTTCGCAAAGAAAAAAACATGCTTACTACAGTTTTTCTATTTAAAAAAAACATAACAAAATTTTCTTTAAATGATAGAAAAAATCTGAGACCCACTTTCCAGATCTGTGCCCCAGTGAACTCATGGAGACATGTTATTGTTTATGTTATTTACATATCTCCAACTTAGACCTTCAGATAGCCTACTAAAACAATGTTTGAAATATTTTCTTACTGTCTATAAATTAAAACATTGTCTACTCACCGGTGTTGTCGAAAGCAGCTTTAATGTGCTCGGTCTGGAGGAATGTTAATGCAGAAGATAAGAGATAGGTTTAGCAGAGCTGAGAGCCGGAGTGTGTGTGTGAGGAGCGCATTCCGGCCAGATGACAGGCGTTGACTTAAAATGGGCACAAACCACGCGGCCACTCCTCTGCGCACCACACCACTCCAGCACTAGAGGGACCACGAGGCGCCTGTTTAAGGTAAGATGTCTTCATTTAAATATCCCAAAACCTCTAGATTAGTGTTATATATTTTGCTGACTAATGCACCTACATTATCCCAAATGTTTCGAAGAACCTTAAAATGATTTTATTCTTTTATTTTTCTAAATTGAATACAAGAAAAAATAACATCACTTCATTTAAGTGATAGTACATTATCAAAAACATTAGGAAAGAAGAAAAGAAAGAAAAAAAGCTTTACAAAGCCTCAATCATTAAGAAAAAAGATTATCATAAGACATTATTATTCATTCATTTTCTTGTCGGCTTAGTCCCTTTATTAATCCTGGGTTGCCACAGAGGAATGAACCGCCAACTTATCCAGCAAGTTTTTAAGCAGCGGATGCCACACACACACACATTCACACACACACTGGCCAATTTAGCCTACCCAATACACCTGTACCGCATGTCTTTGGACTGTGGGGGAAACCGGAGCACCCGGAGGAAACCCACGCGAAGGCAGGGAGAACATGCAAACTCCACACAGAAACGCCAACTGAGCCGAGGTTCGAACCAGCGACCTTCTTGCTGTGAGGCGACAGCACTACCTACTGCGCCACTGCCTCGCCCGCCCCTATTATTATTATTATTATTATTAATAATAATAAGCTTAAGAGATTCAATATTGAGTGCAATTTGAGCAAGAAAAGTATTAAATCTAGGTATTGCCTTTAGAAAACTTATTTTTGCATATAAAAATTGTGTGTGTGTTCGCCATATGATGTCATACACTCTTGATTTCAGGTTTTTTTTAATAAAAAAAAAAACATTGAAACCTTAGACACTTGAATTTAATTTACTACACTGCACAGAGCTAGATTATAACAGAACCCTAAAATGTATTTTTAGTATGATAAATCGACGGTGATGGGCAGCACGGTGGCGCAGTGGATAGCACGATCACCTCACAGCAAGAAGGTCGCTGGTTCGAGCCTCGGCTGGGTCAGTTGGCATTTCTGTGTGGAGTTTGCGCACCTGCGTGGGTTTCCTCCAGATGCTCCGGTTTCCCCAACAGTCCAAACACATGCAGTATAGCTGAATTGGGTAAGCTAAATTGTCTGTAGTGTATATGTGTGAGTGTGCATGGATGTTTCCCAGTGATGGGTTGCAGCTGGAAGGGCATCCTCTGTGTAAATCATATGCTGGATAAGTTGGCCCCAGATTAATAAAGGGACTAAGCCGAAAAGAGAATGAATGAATAAAAACAACGCTGTTTCTTCCCTCACGTGATTAAACCAGAAGAATCTGAGGCGGTTGACATAATAAAAGCTCCACTGCTTTCATGGCATGTCACAGTCATCTCTCATCAGCAACTGCTTAGGGCTCGTACACAACGGGACACTTTTCGCTCACTTTTATCATCAGCATTTTTCGAGACGTTTATCTGAATTCAAACCCAGTCGATTTTTATCAGCGTTGATCAGAGTGAACAAAATTACCCCCAGACCTTAGATGGCACTTAATGAACTTGCAAGTCAGGAAAGAAAAGTGAAATTAAAGGTGCAGTAGGTGATCTGCCCAAATGCTAAGCTGTTAGCAAAATATCTTTCAAATTACACTTATTACAATTAAATTACACTTATTACTAAGCCAAACATGCTATTTCAGACAGAATATTCAGCACAGTAAGGTAAACAATATAGGGAGCATGTCACATGCTGTCATTGTTCTAAAATAAACCGATGTGAATATAAAAACCAATTTTCCAATTTTAGAAAAAAAAAGGCTAGGCGGATCAGCACTATTATGTTTTGTTGTTAAACTAAACTAAATTATCGATGCTGGGCAGCATGGTGGTGCAGTGGGTAGCACTGACCCGGCTGGGTCAGTTAGAATTTGTGTGTGGAGTTTGCATGTTCTCGCCGTGTTCGCGTTGGTTTCCTCCAGGCGCTCTGGAGGCTGTGTCCAAAGACGTGGTATAGGTAAATTGGGTAAGCTATTGTTCGTAGTGTATGAGTGTAAATGAGTTTGTATGGATGTTGCAGCTGGAAGGGTATCCGCTGTTTAAAACGTGCTGGATAAGTTGGCGGTTCATTCCACTGTGGTGACCCCAAATTAATCAAGAGACTAAGCCAAAAAGGGAATGAATGAATGATTGGATGAATTATCGATGCTGTAAAAGGTCCCTTATGAAACTAAAGATAGTCACATCAATCTTTCGCTGGAAGATTTCAGTGACTGAACAACACTTCTGTGCATATAACCCAAAACAACACAATATACATCAGCTTTGCGTCACCTAAATAGTTTTAAAACATAACATGTCTAAAAGAAATACTTCAGCCATAGCGTCGTCCTTCCTCCAGTGTGTTAAAGTAACTCCAATACTGATTATGGACTTAAAAAATTTTTAATTCAGCATTTGTTTTTAGCGCTGTCACTCGTGTCGTGCATCGGCGGAACTGCGTGAAAGGGTGCGCAGTTGTTTAAATCTACATTTGCTGACAGACAGTTTGGGCTACTTATCAGAATTATGGGAATTATCCAGCCTGATCTCACGAGGAAACGTAAGTATTTTACGTTTTGTCAGTTTAGTGGCTAATTTGTACGAAAATGTACGATTTTATAAAAGAGGCGTGGCACCTAACCACACCCCTAACCCCAACCATCATTGGGTGAAGAGAAAATCGTACTAAATTGTACGAATTAGATCGTACGAATTCATACGAATAAGCCACTAAAGCAAAAAGTTCCGAATTGATGCGAGATTGCGTTAGAATTGTCAGCCCGACAATATTTAATTGGATGAACATTCTTTAGTCTGGATGGATGAACGTTCCATTACACAGCATATAAAAATGCATATAAACACATTTAGATCATACTTTAATCAGTACTATTGGACTGTGAAGAGACTTTCAACCAGCACAACAAAAAATGTTTCTGGAGACCTTCTGCACCTTTAAACTCACCATCAAATCCTATTTGCTACTCTCCACTTCTTCTGTTGCATTTATCATACAGCACTTTGTGTTCAGACACCAATGAAAAAGCAGCTCTACGTTCATCTTCGCTGAACCTGAAATCACATACTTTCCTACTATATAGTACGTTAAAAACAGTATCCGAGTTGTAGGTCCGAATTCATTCATTTTCTCTTCAGCTTAGTCCCTTTATTAATCTGGGGTCGCCACAGCGGAATGAACCGCCAACTTATCCAGCATGTGTTTTACGCAGGGGATGCCCTTTCAGCCGCAACCCAACACTGAGAAACACCTATACACACTTATTTACACACATACACTACAATGAATTTTAGCCTACCCAATTCACCTATGCGCATGTCTTTGGACTGAGGGGGAAACCAGAGCACCAGGGGGGAACCCACGAGAACACAGGTAGAACATGCAAACTCCACACAGAAATGCCAACTGACCCAGCCGAGGCTCAAACCAGTGACCTTCTTCCTGTGAGGCGATCGTGCTTCCCACTGCGCCACTGTGACCGAATTCATAGTATTCGAAAAGCAGTAACCTATGCAAGAAGTACCCAGATTTACTACTTCCGGCAAGATACTGATGGACGCTACACTATCCCATAATGCCACACAAGAGAATTCATGAATGAGAGTAAAGAAATGCAACTGACCATGGGAGGTCACATAATGGAACAAATGGTTGCATTTATACTACTCACATTCATACTATATAGTACATACTTTACTAACAGTGCTTTATTGAGTGGTTGGCGATTTCGAATGCAGGCATAGCCTCCGTGCATTGAGCACCTGCAAGTAATGTTTACCATAACTTCAGCAGCTCCAGGAATGTTGTGAACGAAAGTGACAAGGTGCTTATCTTGCACATTATGCCATTCCGGAATGACCTCTGTTTATTGTTTATCATTTTTATTTTATTCCATACAATAATGAACATTAAGATGAACAATTAATATGTGTGTAAAGCAAACACAACACAGGCAACAGTCAAATATCACATCGGCACAGAGCTCTGTAGAGCATGTATTCTTATTTTGTGAAATCATTTATGGATAAAGTAGATATACTGACATATTTGTGCTTTAATAGGAAAGGTTTCACAAAAATTATATGAATCCCATATGAAAAAAATACTACAGCAATGTATAGTAACAAAATAGTGTTTATTAACCATAGTAAAAAATTAATCTGCACGTTGTTAATATGGTGATACAGCAATAGTAGCATACATTACCCAATACTAATTAAATATTATACTACAATACATCAGTTTAACCGTAGTGTAGCATAAAGTGTACAATAGTATTTATAACAGTTTATCAGTTCTCTATTTTATACTACAGTATGCTGAAAACTTCATAAACAATACGTTGGTTCAGAAACACTAGTACTTACCACAAAACAAACTACTATAATATTTTTTTTCATGTGGGATCTCTCATACATCCAAATAGCAAGTACATGCCTAGAAAAACACTGCAATAATATTTTATTAAATACCATATTCTGATCAAACTGGAAATTTTAAATAAATTGTGGCTCTGGACAACAAAACCAATAATATGGGGTCAGCTTTTTTGAAAATTAAGATTTGTACATAATCTAAGAGCTGAATAAGCTTTCTATTGATATTGTAGCTATTACACTGTAAAAAAAATCGAAGGACAAAAAGTCAAGACAACAAATGTTTTATGTTGCTTTAACTTATTTTAATAGGTTAATCAGGTACCAATAATTTTTTTTTAAGTTACACTAAGTTTAAATTAATATTTTTAGTCGGTTTGATTGATGTAAGTTGAGATGACTAAAAAAGTTTATTTGATTCAGCTAAAAAAATAAAAGCATCAATAATTTTTACAGGGTAGAAAATTATTTTAATATCTGGAATCTGAGTGATGTCCAACAAACATAAATGTTTTAAAAAATCACCATTAAAGTTGTCCAAGTAAAGTTTTTAGCAGGGCGTACGAATAAAAAAAAATATTTTGATATACAGTTCAAGTCAGAATTATTAGCCCCCTGTTAAATTTCCCCCAATTTCTGTTTAACAGAGAAGATATTTCTAATAACTGGATTATTTTATCTTTGCCATGATGACAGTAAATAATATTTGACTAGATATTTTTCAAGACACTTTTATACAGCTTAAAGTGACATTTAAAGGCTTAACTAGGTTAATTAGGTTAACTAGGCAGGTTAGTGTAATTAGGCAAGTTATTGTATAACGATGGTTTGTTCTGTGGTTAACCAAAAAATATAGCTTAAAGGGGCTAATAATTTTGTCAGAAAAATGGTTTTTAAAAAATTCAAAACTACTTTTATTCTAGCCGAAATAAAACAAATAAGACTTTCTCCAGAAGAAAAAAATATTATCAGACATACTGTGAAAATTTCCTTGCTCTGTTAGATATACTGTAATTTGGAAAATGTAAAAAAAAGAAGAAAATCAAAGGGGGGCTAATAATTCTGACTTCAACTGTATTTAAAGAAGCATTTGTATCAATGCCTTACTATTCTAATGTTTTATTTTGTATGAAAGACTCTAATAATTTTTATTTACCTGTGCAACGTAATACTGGTTTAGTGGTCCAGGGTCCCAACTGTGAAAACTAAAATTAAATACAATAATATACAAAAAAAAAAAAAAAAAAAAAAGAAGCACTCATACATTCTCACGCAGATTCAAGATATATAAAAAATGGAGAATAAAAAGTTAGGACCACAATCATTTAAGACATTCGAGTGTGCGCTTTTCACGAGTCTCTCTATGCCGGTTTGGTTTCACTCTGTCCCAGCACTGGCCGAGATTCATTTGTGTTTGCTAATTCTGGGCCCGGCCCGTTACAGAAGCTCGGTAACCGGAGATCATAGCGGAACCCGCGTATGTCGAAAGCCTTGTCGTTCAGGGAGAAGAGTTTCTCCGCGATGTCATTGCGCACCAGCAGCGCGAAGATCTTGGCGATGTAGCGGTGCTGCGCGAACAGCAGGTACAGTTTCTTCCTCCGCCACGCCACGTACCGACAACGGATATCCGCGCGTAATGTAACCTACAATGAAGCAAGACGTTTAATAACAAAACATACAGACGAGCAAATGATGTATTAAAATATATTTACCTGAAAAAAACCTTCTTCTGAGGGTCTGAGGGAATCCCATTCTGGAGAGTCCAGGAACTGAAATGGATAGATGAAGTGCAAAAACTCCCCGTTCACCGTCACTCGTATCCTGTTTTAGTGATAAAATGTCGTAAATCTTTTCTTTAAATAGTTCACCTAATACTTCAAATTAAAATAAGTCATCATTTATTTACTCTTCACTTGTTTCAAACCTTTATGGGTGTCTTTTCTTCTGTCTGTCGTTCACAAGAGAATACACAGTAGAAAATGCAGGGTTGCACACAATTCATTCATGTAGTCCCAACACAAATCCGTTAAGATAACGCTACTAATTTAAGTTGATTGAACATTAAACCATTAAGTTTCCCAAAGAAAGCTCAATAATTGTGTTGTTTCGGCTCATTTCTAATAAGTAGTTTGAACAAGCAGCAAAATTTATTTTTTACATTACTGTTGAGCATGTGAACACAGTGGCCAATCAGCGGTGTTTAGGAACGAGCTCATAGCCTCAAATGTTTAATATTTCAGTACTGATTGATACCAAAATTCAGTAATAGTAGCCAACTCAATAATTTTGAAAACACTAATGTGATATTCTCTGTAGGAAATCTTAATTCCACAGTCTAACAAATCAGCTTTAAAGCTAAACATCTGTTCCTCTGTGAGTGTCTATGCTGCCATGTTTAAAGGTGCTGGTGCAATGGCATGTTTAATTACACTAATTTAAGTATATATTTTTTCCTATCAAGTACTTTAAGTTCTTTTATATATATATATATATATAAATATAGATTTTCAAACATTTTAGAACCTTATATTTCAAGGTTGTACATTTTTTTTTAAATTATATTTTGTCTCTATTGCTGTTTGCAGTATATTACAGCACTATTGTGCACTTTTGAACAGGTTTTTACCTAAATGGATTTTGTACAAGTGTACTGTGATACTAAAATATCACAAGTGTATTGTGAAACTCTGCTCTTTTTTTTAAATAAAATGTTCACATTTAAGACCTGTATTGTTATTACTTGTAAGTTGAACTACATATTTTATGTTCAGTTTAATTGAAGCAAATGTGGAAACCGATTGCAGTTTCTTTAGTTGACATTACTTAAAATGTTTACAACATTACTCAAGACTTACTTAACTGAACATGGTATAACTGTATTGGTTAAATAGAGTTAATAAAGTAATCTTACTATAAAACCCTAAGTAAGGTTACTAAATATTCAAGAGTATGTTAAGCATTTTCTATTAAACTAACTTGATTTTTACCAGTTAGTTTACTTTGGAAGTTTCAGGTTTCTTACTTTAAGGCAATTATTAACCTATTTAAGATTTCCTTGTAAGTTTATATTGCAAAAATAAGGCAATCGGTTTCTATTTTTTAAGTAAACTGGACATAATAAGATTTACAGTGTATATTTTAAAGAATATACTGTTCAAAAATGTATTCACACAATCGACTTGTGTTGTGGCAACATGAATGAATTAAGTTAACGTATAGTTATTTACAATTGTAAGTGGATTAAACAAAAACTATTTAGTTGTCCCTAAAAACCCTCAATAAGAAAATGCTGGGTTCCATGTTTTTTTCCATTTGAGTTGTGACAATATAAAACGAATTAAGTTAACATATTAGTTTTTACAAATTTAGGTAGAATGCACATAAAACAAGTAGCCTATTGTGTTGTTTCAACTCATTTTAAGTAAATAGTTTTTTGAGTAAATTTTAAAAACCTGTAAGCATTGACTTCCATTTGTTTTTCTATTGAAGTCAATATGGTTTTCAGCTTTCCTCAAAATATATCAAATATACTTTTTTGTGTGTGTGTTCAACAGAATAAAGAAACATGTACATGTCTTCCTTCCCTTAAGGGAAAGTAAACGAGTACTTTAATTTTTGGGACACACACATAAGAACACTAAGGGCTGTTATTATTATCATCACCAGGGGTTAATCCACTCACCTGCCTGAAACAAGAACTGACAGTTTGTCAATAGGCGTTTTACCCTCCATGGCGAAGAAGTGGTCTTTCTCAATAGTGTGCACATCGCCTTCACATGACTCCACGATTTTCCCGAAGTGTATTAAGGACACCCCCAGCTTTTTGAATAAGCATTCGTACAGATCCTGGAACTCCTTTTCAAAAGTGACGCTTCGTAATCGGTACGCCACGTGGATAAGTTGTCCCAAACAGAAGGCGAAAAGCGCAAAAGTCCACGAAAACGAGTCGGTCGTGCAGGGGTCAGACCAAGCCCAGATCGAGTAACAGAAAAAGCCCAGTGTTAAAAAGCAGAACATGTAGAGTAATCCATAAAAGCCACTGCCTCCCATAAATCCCAAAACCAGCAAAATGTGCGCGAGATGAAATACCGATCCTTCGGGATGTTCCTTCCATTCCGAGCATACCGGGTATTCCAGAACCTCTTCTGTCACGTTATTCTCAGGTAAAAGATCCATTGTGGATTATGAATAATCTTAACAGTGAGAATCGTATATGTGAACGAATGCTGCGTTAATAATCGCCCTGTGTATTCCTGTGTTGAGATATGATCGTCTTGAAGGTCCTGTGAAGCGCTCTCCTTTGCGCACAGAGAAACCAAATCCTCCAGCTGCACTAGAGGGAATTATTATAACCCAGAGGCTGCTCGCTGCTTTGAGACGCAATAAAGTACTAGAGTATTTGCGATTATTTTAGGTATGTGCGATCTGAAACCACTCCAGAGATCTAATCTAATAACAGCATGAATTACAGTGGATGGAATACAGAAAATACGTTTTCAGTCATTACTAATTTAAGCTTAAAGTTTAAAATGCTGAAATGACTTATTAATGTCATTTTGTAGCAGTGAAGGATACCTGCTTTAAAACAGAAGTTTTTTATACAAATTGGATTCAGGATTTATGTTTACATAAGTAAGTGACACCATAAATTATTCTGGATCTAATACCGACAAATGCGAATATTTATTTCAAACCACTTTTAATTCATTTTACGCTACGTGTAATATTTTAATGACTTATTAATGAACAGTTAATAAGGCTGTGTGTTTTAAAATAGAATGAAATGTAGTGTTTTATATGCTAATTGGATTCAGAATTTACATCAGTAAGTTGTGTTTGCAATTGGTCTGAAACCACACCAGAGATCTAATTTTGTAACACCATGAATTACAGTGCATGGAATACAGACAAATCTATGCAAATATTTGTTTCAGACAGTTTTAATTTCGTTTTAGTTTAAGTATGATAAATGACTTATTGATGTTGTTGTAACAAATAATGAGGCAATGTGTTTTAAATATATTTAATAAATTTTATTAAATGTAGTGTTTTTATGCAAATTAGATTCAGGATATATGTTTACATAGGGGCAGCACGGTGGCGCAGGGGGTTGCATGATCGCCTCACAGCAAGAAGGAAAAAATCAGACGAGGGCTTTTCTTTTCCTAGATGGCTTTTGTAAATTGTTGGTTGGGTTTAGAGAAGTCGGTGGGTGGGCAGGTCAATCTGGAAAATTATAAAATTTAGGGATGGAGGAAGGTGGGTCAGTCGATTGGCCGGTCGCACAGTCAATCTTTCAGTCAGTCAGACAGACAGTCATTCGACAGCGGCCTCTGGTGGGTTTCCACGAGAACAGCAAGTGTGCGTACGGCACTTGCGAGACACTTTTGAGATACGAAAAAGTCTACACCGGCCTCCCGTGGGTTCGCAAAAACAAAAACTGCAAAAAAAAAACAAAAAAAAACGCACCTCTCGGGATGTATTTCGTGGTCTTCAGAAACATCAATGGGACTACTTTTTCAGAATGAGCCTGAGTTGGAGAAATGGCTTTATTTTACCCTGCTGAAAAATCCAGCTTAAACCAGCCTAGGCTGGTTGGCTGGTTTTAGCTGGTCAACCAGGCTGGTTTTAGAGGGGTTTTGGCCATTTACAGGCTGTTTTCCACCCATTTCCAGCCTGGTCTTAACTGGTCAGGCTGGAAAATGACCAGCTAAATCCAGCTAAAACCAGCTTGACCAGCCTGGTTTAAGCTGGACATAGCTGGTTTTGGCTGGGCTCCCAGCCTGGCTAGGCTGGTCAAGCTGGTTTTAGCTGGTCATCTCCCAGCCTGACCAGCTAAGACCAGGCTGGAAATGGCTGGAAACCAGCCTGGTCGACCAGCTAAAACCAGCCAACCAGCCTAGGCTGGTTCAAGCTGGATTTTTCAGCAGGGTACTCAGCTGGAAAAAGCTAGACTTGACAACTGCCCCTATTTGGTTGTCCAACTTTAGGTCAGTATCAAGTTTAACCCCATGGTTTGTTGATTGTTGGTTTGATGTGCAGGGCTAGGGCACTCAAAACAACTGTGAAAGTCATAGTGCCATCCCCAAAAACCATGACTTCCATTTTATTCATTGAAACTTAAAAAATTAAAAGGCATTCAGGACTTTGGCATCAAGACACTGAAGCAGTAATCCAACACAATCACAATTAGTGTTGGGAAAACATGAAGGAATTAAGTTAACTTTATTCATTCATTTTCCTTCGGCTTAGTCCCTTTATTCATCTGGGGTTGCCACAGCAGAATGAACCGCCAACCAGCTGCAACCCAGTACTGGTAAACATGCATACACACTCATTCACGCAATCACAATACAGCCAATGTACAAACACGCCTCAAATTAATGAAGACATTTTTACCCCACAGCACATATTTGTTGTGCTAATAAAGGTTGCATACACAGAACAATTCCCAAGAAGAATTCACGTATAAGGGAGAATGTCAAGGTCAGACAATCCCTCAGTGTAAAAAAACCCACCACACTATAATGAGGCCCGAGATATCATGTATGACACTGGGATAGCTCATTTCTCATTGGGACACAAATCGGGTTGTTTCAGCAGCGGCAGTTTTGTTCTGGTTGAAAATAACTCATTGCTAAAACACCCCACCCCCCCTATCCCGTCGCCTGGCAGCTGAAGGTGCCTTTCATGCACACTCTGGGGGTATGAAAACAAACTTCACCTGAGAAAGAAATCCAGGACAGACCATCTCTGCAGCCATCCTACAATCGCATGCAATAAACATCATGTTTCCCCAGTATAACTATTGCATTCTCTTTGTAAAAAAAACACGGATAGCATAGAATAGCAGAGAGTCGATGTGTATTGGAGGGTCAGCCATAAACAGCTCTGACTTTATGCTGGCTATCAGACACCCTAGCACATCTATATATAGATCCAGACCCCAGAATATCTGTCAGTGGCTGTGTTAGTGTGAGCGTGTACTGGTTTTGGTGGTTCACAAGGAAAGTTTTGTATAATGACATGGCTATGACTTATAGTTGTATACTATATTATGTAGTTTGCAAGGACGTTCCTTTCAAAATCCTACTTTAATGGGGTCTTTTGATATTCAAGTTTTGCCACAGGTTTCTTATAAAGGGTTGGGGTTAGGGCTAGATCAGGGTTATATAAGTGTTTTTTTACTGTATAAAATACATTTTGCATATTGAAAGGTCCTGTGTACGTGTGTGTGTACTGGTTTTGGTGGTTTACAAGGACATTTTTTTGTATAATGACATGGCCATGACCTAGATTTGTACACTGTTACCGTGGTTTACTAAGAAGTTCCTTTTGAAGTCATACTTTAAAGGGGTCTTTTGATATTCAAGTTTTGCCACAGGTTTCTTATAAAGGGTTGGGGTTAGGGCTAGATCAGGGTTATATAAGTGTTTTTTTACTGTATAAAATACATTTTGCATATTGAAAGGTCCTGTGTACGTGTGTGTGTACTGGTTTTGGTGGTTTACAAGGACATTTTTTTGTATAATGACATGGCCATGACCTAGATTTGTACACTGTTACCGTGGTTTACTAAGAAGTTCCTTTTGAAGTCATACTTTAATGGGGTCTTTTAATATTCAAGTTTTACCACAGGTTTCTTATAAGGGTTGAGGTTAGGGCTAGGGGTAGGTCAGGGCCATAAAAAGTGTGTTTTGCTGTATAAAATATATTACGCGTATGTAAAGTCCCTTTGTGTGTACTGGTTTTAATGGTTTACAAGGACAGTTTTTTGAGTAATGACATGGCTACAGCATCTAGGGCCAGGCGGATTCTACGGACATTTTTTGCTATTTCGGTCACACTGTACAAAAAGGTTCATTAGTTAATGTCAATTAATGCATTTACTAACATGAACAAACAATGAACAATACATTTACTACTCTATTTGTTCATGTTAGTTAACGTTAGTTAATGAAAATACAGTTGTTCATTGTTAGTTCATGTTAACTCATGGTGCATTAACTAATGTTAACAAGCATGGACTTGCATGTTAATGCATTAGTAAATGTTCAATTATGATTAATAAATGCAAGTGTTGTTCATGATTAGTTCATGTTAGTAAATGCATTAACTAATGAACCTTATTGTAAAGTGTTACCGCTATTTCTGCGGAGAATTTGGTATAAATCTGTGGATTTCTGCAGAATTATTTTGGGAGTATCATAACTAAAACTTAATATATGAAATAAAAAACTATATATTTTTAACTTTTATTTAATGTTTAAAGATTTAATGTTAGATTCACTTTATTTGGTAAAAAAGCAAGTTTGTCATATAATTTATCTATTAAAAGACAGAAAATAATACTGTACAAACTGCATTGTACTTAAATCAGATGAACATTTTCACTTTAGTCAATAATATTACTGATATTAATTAAATAACTGAACTCAAGTAAATCAACAGAATTAATGATGGGCTAAAAATCTGCGGAATTCTGCGCGCACAGATTCCGGGTGGGCCGTGGCATGACCTAAATTTGTTCACTAATAAAGTTGTTTACAAGGACGTTCCTTTCAAAGTCATACTTTCATGGGGTTTTTTGATATTCAAATTTTACCACAGGTTTCTTATAAGGGTTAAGGTTAGGGCTAGGGGTAGGTCGGACCATAATAAGTGTTTTTTGCTGTTTAAAATACATTGCGCATGTGGAAAGTGCCTGTGTGTGTACTGGTTTTGGTGGTTTACGAGGACAGTTTTTTGTATAATGACATGGCTATGGCCTAAATTTGTACTCTTTTACAGCGGTTTACAACAACGTTCCTTTCAAAGTCCTTCTTTAATGGGGTCTCTTGATGTTCAAGTTTTGCCACAGGTTTCATATAAGGGTTGGGATTAGGGCTAGGGGTAGGTCAGGGCTATAATAGGGGGTTTTGTCAGTATAAAATACACATATGGAGAGTCCTTGTGAACCACCAACCATCTCTCCCTCTCTCTGTGTGTATGTTCGTGTGTGTTTTTCAAAAGAGAGAGGGAGAGAAATGAAATTAGAGCTAGAAATTGGGGTTAGAGATGTTCAAATGTACTTCCAACCTAGTGAAAAAGTACACAGCAGTTTTATTGTATTAGGTTGTATGTCAGTGCTCACATGCTCAGCTGACAGATGAAGAACCTGCTGGGTCATTAATCTAGAAGAACAGCACTGAGTTTTGGGACCTTGGCTGAGAGGTGTTACTGAAAAATAGAACACCACCCGGAGAGCTGTGCAGTGCTCATTGTTGGAGGTTTCTTAAATTGCATCTTATT